TGAAGAAAGGATCAAATTATTAACATCAGTCTTTTAAATCTAACCCATATCATTTTATTGTCCGAGATCAGAGTATGATCATGTTTTGAGATTTTAATCTTGACCATTTTCTGAATCAGAGCTAGGTAGGACTAATGCAAATATATAACATTTCTTTCAAAATGACCATTGTACCACTCGGGAGCCCCTGGCATCAGTGGTGATCCGTCAGCAATATTACAACTAAAACCTAAAAATACGAGACTTTTCTGGAAGTTCGTAGGAAGTTCGGTAGGAAAGTCAATTTCTCCTGATCTGATGTAAATAAATATGTAATCACAACTAATAACAGGGTCTGAACTTCTAAATATGCTGAAATATTTTCCACTGGTTGTTTAGCAAACTACCCCGGTATATTTGAATGCATCGTCTGTCAGCATCAAATGTTAAACGGTACACGCCAAATATATATATATAGAACATGTTAAACTTGTTAGTTTGATATCACATATTTTAAAGTATAAAGAGAGAACTCCGATGATAAATCGAGTTTATTTGCTCAAGACTAGATAGAATCATGTTGCCGGTGAAATATTCTCTTACACATAGATACACGATATGTATATAATACGTCTAAACAACAGCCCAACAATGTTAGATCTGTAAATTTGCGGAAGCAAATTTTTTGTTCTTCCCTGGCCGGGATTCGAACTCATGCTACTGAGATATCGTGGCACTAAATCGCCTTGCACTATGCCCAACGCGCTAGACCACTCGACCACCTAGGCTCTATAATAATAAAGCTTTCGGTGGCCGGATGTTACCTTTATATATATATATATATATAATCTGGATATGGTGTACTAATTTTTGCACCTTTTGTTTGCGGTATACCATCTTTTCCGCAAGTTTATTGTTTTCTGTTTGGTATTAAATTAATAGTTAAGATCCATTTTGTTACATCTGGTGATCCGTTTATTTGGCAATCGCCAATGGCAGTAAGCAGGGTTTAAGAACATCTGTTGTTCGACCTGTTAGTCAAATGCGTTTTGTTGAAATATACTTTTTCACTTTTTTGGTCTTTTGGAAAATGTTGTTTGTGCTGTATTTAGACCCCTCTACCAAGAAATTTGTTTTGCATGCACACGTATAAAAATTGCGGATTTTATCCAACGTAATCATAGGTTTGAACGTTGTTTTCAATTTAGACTTGTTTATATTTTTTCGTTTGGGCTTGTATTATATTTGCCTTCGGGTTTATATGATCCGTTCATCCTATTTTGACTCTTTCAAAATTCAAGAGTCTATCCTAAATTGAGGTAAATTATATGGCCTTCCAAATACCGTTTCGATTCCTAACATCACTGAAGAGACATTAATTGTCGAAATCCGGATATGGTGTACAAATTTTTGCACCTCATGTTTGCGGTATACCATCTTTTCCGCAAGTTTTTATTGTTTTCTGTTTGGTAATAAATTAATAATAAGATCTATTTTGTTACATCTTGTGATACGTTTATTTGGCAATCGCCAATGGCAGTCAGCAGGGTTTAAGAACATCAGTTGTTCGACCTGCTAGTCAAATGCGTTTTGTTAAAATATACTTGTTCACTCATTTGGTCTTTTGGAAAATGTTGTTTGTGCTGTATTTAGAACCCTCTACCAAGAAATTTGTTTTGCATGCACACGTATAAAAATTGCGGTTTTTATCCAACGCAATCATAGGTTTGAACGTTGTTTTCAATTTAGACTTTTATATATATATATATATATATATATATATATATATATATATATACATGATAATTCCAGTATGATCTTCAAAAATCATTGTACATATTCATCTAGGAATTTTGTAAAGCATCAATGTATGGGTTAACATGGAAAAAAAACTGAGCACTGTGCCCTTTTTTACATTTTATAAATTGATAATGGAAGATCGCGACTCTTGTCCAGTAGTAGATTAGATAATTTAGTCTTGGATGCATGATTGTTTTATTAGTTGTTAGTGGCTTTGAACTAGCTGTCAGTAACTGCGAGTACTCTCAGATCTGTACTTAGTGTCTTTTTGTTGTTTGGATGTACAAGTACCCGGCCACGTCCACTTGTATTTGTAGTATTTGTATTTTATCCATCTGATGAGTTAAGCCTCTTTCAACTGATTTTTATAGTTCGTTCTTATGTTGTACTGTTACGCCACTGTCCCAGGTTAGGGGGAGGGTTGGGATCCCGCTAACATGTTTAACCCCGCCACATTCTTTATGTATGTGCCTGTCCCAAGTCAGGAGCCTGTTATTCAGTGGTTGTCGTTTGTTTATGTGTAACAAATTTGTTTTTCGTTCATTTTTTGTACATAAATTAGGCCGTTAGTTTTCTCGTTTGAATTGTTTTACATTGTCATTTCGGGGCCTTTTAATAGCTGACTGTGCGGTATGGGCTTTGCTCATTGTTGATGGGCGTACGGTGACCTATAATTGTTAATTTCTGTGTCATTTGGTCTCTTGTGGAGAGTTGTCTCATTGGCAATCATACCACAACTTCTTTTTTATAGAGAATTTTAACAATGCCAAAACTATTGCCTTGCAAGAATACTTTTAATTTACTCAAACAACACTGCGGCATAACTTCATAAAACATCCAGCAGTTTAAACACAAGACCTAAACATAACAAAAACCAAAGTTCAACACACCTTACGAAACCATTAGTACACAGTGCAATTTATAAAACAACACCTTACAACAATAACAGTGCAGCTCACCTTAGAACAATAACAGTGCAGCACACCTTACATCAATAACAGTGCAGCACACCTTACATCAGTGACATTGCAGCACACCTTACATGCATAACAGTGCAGCACACCTTACATCAATAACAGTGTAACACACCTTACATCAATAACAGTGTAACACACCGTACAACAATAACAATGTAACACACCGTGCAACAATAACAGTGTAACACACCTTGTAACAAAAATCTAAGAACCTTATTGAGGAAGTGCACAATTTTGAAAAACCTATTCTTAAAGTTATGTTTTTAACACCGAAGAAAGATTTTTGAATATTGTTTTTATCGGTACTACATGTAACATTGATTTCATTGGTACTGACAAAGGCTTTGTATTTAATATGATAAAACATAACTAGTCTAGATATGTATTGCTATACAGTTATATGAAAACTTATGGTCCTACATCTTGTCTATCAAATATACATATACTTTGTCATTGTAAAAGGTCATGCTTTTCTCATACTGTTTAGCTTATGACGTTTTTACACTAAATCCGTTGAATTGAATGATTTTTTAGTCTGGGAAACATGATTTATTTATTATTTGTAAATGGCATTGAACTAGTTTTCAGTGACTGTGAATTCTCTTAGATCGGTACAATGAGTCTTTTGTCTATTTGTAAGGTGTGTTTGCTTCGTGATGAGTCAAGCCCTTTCAAACAAATCTTATGTCGTGCTGTTACAATCACTGTCGCGGGTTAGGGAATGGCTAATCGCTCAAAAACATGTAATTGTCTTTCGTTGCTGCCCGTCATATTTTTTTTTTTTTGCTTATTGTTTTAGCATAAATCTAGTTTGGATTTCTACTTGGTTTTCGATTTAGTTTTTTTCTTCACGTTTTATCATGCAAGGGTCTTTTTAATCTTACTATACGGTATGGGTTTTACTCATTGTTGAAGGTCATTTTGTGACCTTATATTATAGTTGCTGACATCCACTTCCTTTTAGTCTCAGATGGATAGTTGTCTTATTTGCAATCATACTGCATCTCTTTTTTAATATTTGGATGAATACATAAAAACCAATAGTAATCTCGCTCTTTTATTTTACCATATATTCACGTTTTGTTCCAATAAAATGCAAGATTTACATTTACCATCAAGGAAACCACTTATTTTTTATACCTATGACCATGGCGTATAACCTCAGAATCATAAAGGATCTTCCTCTCGTTATTTGAAACCATGCAAATTTGGATACACACGATGGGTTTAGGTCTATTATCTGAAAACCAGTCTTAGTTTTTGTAACTGTGATCTTTACCTTGGGCGTAAGGGTCTCAAAATTAAAAGGGATTATCCTCTCATTATACATGTCTCATTGCATTCTTCAGTATTATTTAAATGACTATCACCTTGCGCGCAGTTATATTAAAATTAATGGGCGTCTTCCACTCATTATATGTGATTATATATCATGTTTTGCAATAAAATTAAAGATGCAAGGTTCCAAATTTATACTTTCCTTCACGGGTTTCAGAGTATTTTGAATTTACCTCAGAATCAGTAGGGATATTTCGTTTGTTACATGTTACAATTTATACAAGTAAGGTTGCAATCCAATATATATTTAGTAAATCTTACCCACTCTAACCTTTACCTTAGATGATGTGACCTCAAAATAATAGGGATTTTCCTCATCATATGTGACTACATCCAAGTAAGGTTGCAATCCGATTTAAAAGTATTTGTTTCATCTCCTACAACCAAGATGACTGACGAACGAACGGGGCAAAAAATATATATCTTATCCCGCTTCTTCGTAGTGTTGGATACAGTATAACAATTCAGCATACTTACTTCAAATAAAACAACATTGCATCAAACATTATAGCATTGCTATATCAAACAACTTACTGACTAGAGTAATAGTACATCACATGACTTCAACAACAGAATTTATAGACTCTGGATGATTTATAGCTTGACATGAGGTATAGACACTTGTCTATTGTTGATGGCCATTTGTTGAAATGTCTTATCTGTTGATTGCTTTGTTGGGTGTCTGTCTCATTGGCGTATACCCGGCGTTTTCTTAACTAAAATCACAATACTTTAGACATAACTATAAAGTTATAAATCAAATCTAACCACATATCTTATATATTGAGGAGGAGCTGCAGAAAACAAACTGATCGGGGGGGGGGGGGGGGGGGGGGGGGGTGGGGGGGGGGGGGGGGAAAGAGCCACGGATGAACGGCTGGTCGGGCTTAAATGGAAGTTTTTAACTTAAATATATATTTATATAGGAAAAAAATCTTTTTTCAGTCTTATTTTTGTCCTGTTTTATGCACAGCGTGGACAAATTTTATAACTTTTCAATATATAAATATATACTTGATTCATCTACAACAACATTACTTTATCGCATAGAACAACAAAAAATGAATGAAATATATGTCTCTATGAACATATTTAAGTACATGTACACAATTACTTGTTTGGGCTAATTATTGTAGAGTCAAAACCAAGACATGTCATCTAGTTCCCGTCAAGATTAAGTTCAGGAAACAATGGTAATCGGAGTTCTTCACCATGAAGGAAGGGAAAGTGCCTCTGATCAAAAATATTATTCAGACGACTAGGCTTAAGAACTGTAATTGTTCCTTGGGAATGGTGACCAACCCAAATGTTTTGTTCGGAATCGACACATAAAGCACTGCTCTCTATTAAAGAGTCACCTTCCTCACCGCGCATAATGCCTATAAATTTTCCAAGCGGACTAAGGACATGTAAACATTCTTTATAAATATCAGCCACGATAAAATTTCCGTCTGCAGTTGTGCAAACGGAGAGAGGAAGGAATGGTTCTCCGTCCGTAAATAGAGAGAACGGCAATTTTCTCCAGCCTTTATACAATCCTCTCACTTTTCCGTCGTAATCCAGTACTATAACTTTATGAAATTTAGTGTCACATACAGCAATGGTTCCAGCCTTATAACTGGAAGCCATTTGAGTCGGGCACTTAAAGATATACTCCATTGCGTCTTTGGATATTTCTTGCAGTAGCTTTCCTTGTGTTGTATAAATGTGCAGAACACCAGGACTACTATTTGACAACTCACAGTCACCATCTTTACACTCTGCATTGCATAGATGTGTTGGTCCACTGACCGCAATGTTTTCATTTTGAAGTTCCGCTAAACCAATCGGATGAAAAGTTGGCGTTCTTGCAAAGACTTGAAATTTGGGTGGATTGTAACAACCAACAACCTTAGCCCCTATATGTGCGAGCAAAATACATCCATTCTTTATTTCCAGTACAGTTGATGCTTCTGCTGGCAACGGAATTCTGTCCATTATTTTCCCATGTTTGTCGTACTTTAAGAGAAATTCGTTCTTATCCAGTCTGACAAAAACGCCACCATTTCTTGAAAATGCCATAGATCGGACAGTTTTTCTGATTTCTTCAATAGGAAGAAACTCGCCGACAAACATAGAATTTTGTTTGCATAAAAACTCAGTCTTCATATTTTGATGCATAAGATGCCAATGTAAATGTGGAGGAAGACTGACGATGTTTTCGTCGTCACTGTCGTCACCGCGTATTCGTTCGGTTGCATGTTTAGTATGCGAATGCATTCGATTACATTTTTTGCACAGAACTGTACTGCATAAAAAACAATTTTGGTACACGGGTAGTTTATGGCATTCTTGACACACTTTGGGTGGTTTCTCGACTGGAACAAAGTTATTAGTTGGGAAGTCGGTAAATCCCTTTTCTGGTACATAACAAGGTTCCCTGCATAACGGACATATTAAGTTTGACTGATCTTGTAAACCTCCCAAAAATTCGTGAAGACATGATATACAAAATGAATGTTTGCATGGTAGCATTTTGGGAAATTTGAATGTATCATAGCACACTGAACATACATTTTCGTCACTCATTATATTGCCATTACCTACAACGAAAAAAATAACAACTGTATACTATAGTTACACAGGAATAAGTAAAAACCATTTAACGGACGTGTGATCCCATATCCGCAAAACGGATACTTCGTTAGCATAAAGCTTCGACAGCCCATCCTATACATAACAGACAAACAAAAACACAAGAAAAAAAACAAAGTGACATAAACACAAGTACTTATATTACTTATAAATAATTGAAAAGCACAAGGAAACAAAGTAATATAATACAAAAACAAAAACGAAAACGACAGAACAAGACGTAAAGGTATATAGCAAGGCGTAGAAATATATGGAACTATATATACATGTATATTAACAGTTCATTTTTTTTAAACAAAGAGGGGTTGAGATCTGAAGAAAAACTCATTAAACCCCATCACATGTTTGTGTCTTTCCAATGTCAGGAATCTCCAGTGGTTCTCTTCGGTAGTATATTTTTATCAGTTAAGATGTTGTGTAACTGTTGTATGATGGGATATATTTGATGTTCTCTGTTAAATTTATTGATAGCTTTTCTAGGCCCGGGTTGATTAAAGCTTATCACATAGTGTAAACATTTGTCTGTTATAGTGCGAAACGTATATAAAAATAAGAAGAGACAACTATCCACCATTCAGAGGTCAAATAACTTAGATGTAAGCAACTATTAGGGACTTATCATTTTTTACCTGGGAAGGGGGGCTGGTCAAAATGTAGGGGGGGGGGGGTCAAGTTTTTTTCTGTAAGTTGAAAAGGGGGGTTCAATTTTTTTATAAATTCAAAGTGGGGGGGTCAAATTTTTTTGCACATGGAAATAAGTAGTTTGCATGCTTCAAACATGTCAAGGGACAAAATGTTTAGAAGAACATTACAACAGTCAAATGAGAATATACTTTTACCATCATTGATCAAATTTATTTCATAACCATATATAAATAATAATTTGTGTACTGTATATGTAACTGATAAAATCTAGTTCACTTAGTGATCACACATAAACATAACCCTCAGGACCTAAAAGCTTAACAGTTATAATGTCAAATGGCCTGAAGATTCTATTTCAAGCGTCATCTCCTGTACCTTGCATTTCAAGAGCTTCATAAGAGTCTGATTCTGCTTGATTTTGATTTTCATCTGACTTTTCAAGCGCATTAGATTTTGGCATGGAAGACTTGGATTTTTTATTGTAAAAATTCTTCACCATCTAAACTGCTCCCGTTTAAAAAAAAAATCAAAAGCAGAGAGTTTTTTTTAACATTAATTCCTTTCTTGGTCGAATTGATTCAAGCCCTTTTGATAACTATTCTTCCACCTTGATTCTATATTTGACTGGTTATTTCAAGCATTACAGCCATGTTTTGTTATAATCACCCAGCTTAATAGTTTAAAGAGAAATTTAGAATAAATTAAAACGAAATCTACAACGATTTGTGCAAAATTTGTTCCAAAAAATCCAAATCACGCTGCATCATGAAAAAATATAGTGTTGACCAATAAATCCACCAATGAATGATCAAATATTCAACTTATCTGCATAAAAATAGTTACAAATGAATATGATACAAAAGATTATTCTAAGTTGATAAAAACCACTTATGTACCTTTTTGTTTTCATTATACTTAGATCCTTTTGGGTCCAATTATAGCTCTCATTCCATCAAAAGTTGTACATTTTAGGCTACATCAAAATTTTGGGGTTACTAACACCAGAAGAAATGTGAGATATGTGACAATAAATATGTAATTGAATTGTTCAAGCTGAATGAATTATCCATATAAAAGTTTATCGACTAAATGGAGTTTTCAATAAGGCCTCACGTAAACTTAATTTTACGCAGCGTTCAATAGAAGGGCATATATTAAACACATGCAGATCCCTTTTACTAAATAAAGTGTTGTTACTGTTTCAAAAAAAACATTTACTTTTTACTGTATATTTTTTTACAAAATATATACTGATGAACAAGTTTTCTTATTTAGCCCAATATAGGGAACTAGAAAAAAAGTCAGAAAAAGCATCCCATTGAAGCACCTACTAATTTTTCTTGGAAAGAGCCCTATTTCAAGGCAATTTTCCCTCAAAAATATTTTTTGAGACTCATTCCACTGAGAATATTTCATGTTTGCAATATTTCCGTGAAATAACATGACAAGTGTTTTCCATTTCAAAATGTTGGGATGTTTAATCTGGGAACAGAATATCTAATATATATGTATGTTCCTGGTATAATAGAGGGGGGATCACATTTTTTTTAAATGTTTTAAGGGGGGATCAAATAAAAATAGTGAAATATTAGGGGGGGGCAAGAAAATTTTATATGTTTGATTTCCAAATGACCAGCCCCCTCCCAGGTAAAAAATGATAAGTCCCTAAAGGTCATCAACAATGATTAAAACCCATACTGTATAAAGGATAAGGGCAAAAAGATAACAGACCTTGAAATGAAAAAATATAATTCAATCGAGAAAACCAACGGCCTATTTTTTGTTAAAAACAATAGGCAAAAAAAATATGATATACAAAAAACAACGACAACCACTGAGTTACAGGCTTCTGACTTGGGACAGACACAAAGCACAAAAACAACTAAAAATAATATTGAAGACACAGATTACTCACAAGTACTGAAATCTAGTTCAAAGCCAGCTAATCATAGTAAATAATCATGTTTCTAAGGCTATTCTTGTTTCAAGCTCAGTGACTAGGCTACTTTATACATGACCAATCTGATTAAAATAAGATCTTTTCACGAGCGACAAACAGTGAAAAAAAATCTGATTTTTAGTAAAAAGTTTCGTGAAAGTTTTACTGTACTACTGTCGTTGAAACCATACCTTTTAAGTAGAAGGAAGTAAAAATAAATATCAAATATAGAAATATGACATCATTGATTCGAAAAAAAGAAATAATATGTTTTCATAATGTCCATTTGTAAAGATGGTATTTTTGAATTAAATTCGAATAAAATAAAAAAAACTGTATGCATTTTTGTTTGCATTAAATAAGACACATTAAAGGTTAATCTAATTACAACAGGGGTTATCTAACTTGGAAATTCCAATCACCTTGTTTTGGTTTCAGTTTTAAACTTATTTGGTAAGTATTTCGGATTCGATTCGTTTACACTTAGTAGCTAGACTGGACTATGACCCCCACCCCCATTTTTTACCTGTATATTTTGCTTACTGTTTAAAACAGGGGTGTTCAAATGGAAGTCATTCCCTATGATTTGTTATTCTAATTGTATTTATTTCATAAAAATACAAACGGCTACATTTTGACCTTTATTTTTACAAACTTTCATTCAAATGGCTATTTAGGGGATAACACGGGGTCTGCGTTGGCTCCTGTTTCATATTTTATTGGCTCCGGGCTCCACAGTATGGACCCGGGCTCTTTTAAGCAGTGTGCCAAGTTGGGCTTCTGGCTCCAACCATAAGGCTCCCTTTATAGGACTTCGAGCTCCATAGGTGGGATCCGGACTCAAAATACGTGGACTCTGTGTTACATATGAAGCGCGTGTTATAACCCGATGCTCTCTACATCGACACACAGACGCTTAGGGCAGTACATCTAACTGTTACTAATGACAAACACCAAAATCTTTTTCAGAGTTTTTATCAAAACAATGCACTGTACTGTAAGTATTGCCTTTTTTTGTGGCATATGCAATAGGTAATACACCGGCTAATGCACGGCAGATGCAAAAGGTTACATACCGGCTATTTGTATGACAGATGCAACAGGTAACAAACCGGCTATTTGTACGGCAGATGCAATAGGCAACGCTCCGGTTATTTGTACGGCAGATGCAACAGGTAACTCACGAGGTGAAAAAGGGAGAAACGAGTGGACAAAAGAATCATGAATCCATTTGTGCTTTCAATCCAAACTTAAATAAGATCTTACGCAATTATTGGCAAAAATTTCATTGAAATTTAAAATCAGTTTAACTGAACGTTTTTAACAAAAGTGCAATGTTAACCAAATGACCAAAAATATACCGTGAGCCTAAATCCATAAATTGGAAACAAGACTTGTCAAAATACCAATGGATTCAGTCCAAGTTAATTACATTTATTTATTTAATTTACATTAACTGCTTCATAAAGGAATTAGAGATTGACAATTTACTTGGAAACCCAAGTCAAACTAACAGACTTCCTTGCAGTTATGTCTGTATGTGTTTTTCATGATATAGACCGACTTAATCACTTTAAAAATGAAAGAAAAAGATAGGTGTATTAAATTCTCGAACGTTTGATAATTACAAATTGTCAACGAACCGTGAGTTAGATGTATATTATTCATCAACGGATCTTAATTGTAATTTTATGAAAATATATTGCATTTTGCATTCTTTGCACAGGAAACATTTATCATGCATCAACTTCGTTAGGTTTTTTTCAGTACTATTGTCATATTTTGGTGCACATTTCATTTTTTTTCTTTTCTCTTCAATTTTTTTTTTTATTGTCGAAAGGACTGTAATGCAGATATGAAGGAGTCTCTTGTCGCCATTCATTTCAATTCAGAGATAACAAACACGTAACACTTGAATTCATCGATATTCTTTTCGTAATGATGAACCATGTTACTGAGAAATTTAGAAATTGAGAATTCTACAAACCTTGTATCAACTTTTTACAAATTACTCTCTATGGACCAGTAGACTAATCAATCAACGGATTTTCTCCTATGAAACTTCATACAAACGTAGATCAACGGACTGGGATATCGATAAACAGAACGTTACCTTGAACATGTCCTTTAATTCATTAACACATTTTTCTTTTCTTTCAGGAATGATGGAAGATCGCGACTCTTGTCCAGTATGCTTTGAGAATTTCATAATGCCAAAACTGTTGCCGTGCAAACATACCTTTTGTCTCCGTTGTTTAAAGGATTACTGTGATCAACAAAAAACTGTTTCAAATGAAAAGTTAACTACTACAGATAAAGATTCGATAATGGATAAAAATCAAATTATATGCCCTCTTTGTCGGAACATATGCAGTATACCAAAAATGGGATTTCAAGATTTATTTACAAATTACTTCGTACAAATTTCAAGACCACCCAATATTTGTGAAATTTGTGTACAAAAAACTATTTCAACATATTGTACAACTTGCTTTAAGAATAAGTGTAAGATTTGTTTTCGTCAATATGATCATAGAAAAAAGACAAGTACCAAATGCGAGGTAACAGAGGATAATCGACCCGACCCACGTCTTCCGTTCCATTTTATGTTCAATGATGGAATCAGAACTGAATATATTTGTGAACCGACCAAAACTTTTCAGTTAGATGTTCCACCCAACGACAAAGGAAAGCGTTGGGTATACTCTGTCATTACCTCAAGAAAGGGAGGGGCATATGTTCTCCCTCAAACGGTACCCTTTGTTTTAAAGTTTGGATCAAATACAGACTTACTAGGGAAAATAAGAACACCTGACCCTTGCACCTGTATAATTGAACTTCAGAATGGAGACCTTCTTGGGATTTTCAGACGTAGTCGTCTTATACTGCGCTATACCTGCGGTGGTTGGTCGCATTTTGCTACAACATTGGATTATTTCCCCTATGGACTCGCTGAATTATCAGATGGTAAAATTATTATATGTGGTCCAAATGCAAATACTCCTGGTGATATCAAAGAAGACGAAATATATGGCATTGTCAGAATGTATTCGGCTGGTGGCGATGTACTTGGAAATATTGAGAAAAAAGACACAGAAAGTAGTTTTCTTTCACCACACTTAGCAGTGTCTAATAAACGAAGTAAAACATTCGCAATTAGCGACCAGAAAAGATTATTTGTAACTATATACCATGAAAATGGAGACGAACTAACAACTTATAATGGTGGAACAGCTATGTTTAACTCACCAATAAACCTTTTTGGATTTCAAACACATGGAATTTTTCAGCCAATCGAAATGTGTTGTAGTCCATCGGGGAATTTCATCATATCTTGTACAGACGGCACATTGCACGTGTTGGATCCATATGGTAACATCAAGGGTGTCGCTTTAGCCAACTGTTCCGACGGATTTGGAACACTGACAGATGTCGCCGTTGATATAGATGGAAATATTTGGTGTAGCAATTCTGAATTTGGAACAATTAAACTATTTCGTTTAGTTAGATATAAAAATCATTTAAAAACAGACTGGATATTGCCATGATTCGTGTACGTCTTTTAAAAAGAATTCCACTCAGCTATATTTGTGTAAAAACCATAGTACATATACAAGGCACTTTTGAGCAAGTAACTTTAAAACAGGACATTATTAAATTAATTGAACGGCTCTTCATAAAATCAGTTAAGACAATGAAAGACCATACACAAAATATAAGAGAAATATCAAAACGAATAAGAAGCGATTTATCACTTCGTCTTTTTATCTATATAAAAACTGGTTTTTATTTATTTCAAAAATGTTCAGATGTAATAAAAAAGGGTTTTTTTTGTAAGCATACAAAAAAGCTCAATTCATAAACTTATTTATGCTGGGAGTTGACTAGCGAGAAACAGTTTAGGATGTGTTTAACTAACGCCATGCACTTGCATTTACAAACAATATACTTTTGAATATGTCTTGCTTTTTTCCATAATTCATTTCCAAATATACTAGAACACGCCCGCGATATCGCAGGTCCATGACTGAATTAAAATACCTACGCCTTACTTTTAGCCTGGATTTTTAGAATTCGTATTGTCATGCTGATTATAAGGTGCACAGTGTTCTCTGCTTTCAAAATCTTTGTTTGAACCCGTCCTGGTTTTCTACTACAACTGGAAACTATATGTGAAAATGATTGAATTTCGTAGTGCCAATCCCTGTATAATGACGAAGTTCAGTTTTGACTATGACCCGTGTTTATAGCAAATCCCAAATATACCGTTTGGTGGTGCACCTGACAGAGGCGGAACGTACAGATTAGGTAACAGGTGACATATACTATTGGTATCGGTTTCGGATTCGACCCGGAACTTGTTAATTATTGGTAATATTAATTATCATGGGGATGTGGAAAAAAAAGGACCTGGAATGGCGTAATTTTTAATCAACACCATTGTCCTATATTAGTTATATATAAAGTTGAATTCTTTGATTCGTCGTGTTTACGTCATGACGGCTAACAAATTGGACCTCGTTATTTTAGTAGTATAGATACATGCCAATTGTTCATACCGATTTTCATATTAATTGCTTCTTTTTGTTTAATTAGCAGCTACTGTATCGTACATTTGTGCTTTGACAAGCAGTTAATTGCGGTCTCACACAGAAACACATCCGTCTATTGTTTAAACTTTTCCACATACGTAATATATATATAGGTTGCAGCAAATCAGCAATAACAGATTTAAACAAGCATTCTGAGTGTATTGCATGGCAATACATAGTCCCCTACCGGTTAAAAAATAATTGTACTAGAACAAAATGCTAACTTGATCTATAACTTGTCATGGTGTAAACTTTATAACAAATATCAAGTCAATATCTTCAAGCATGACGAAAAAAAGTGCGGAAAACTGATAATTCAAGTGATTTTTCTAAGTCCAAGACCCATTACTCTGCAAAAAATCATCAAACCGAAACAAAATTCAAACTTGGTCTGTAACTTGTCATGATAAAACTATATACCAATTATCAAATCAATATCTTCAAGCATGACGAAAAAAAGTGCGGAAAACTGATTATTTAAGTGAATTTTCCAAGTCCAAGGACCATAACTCTGCACAAGTTTATCAGACCGAAACAAAATTCGAACTTGATCTGTAACTTGTCATGATAAAACAATATACCAAATATCAAATCAATATCTTCAAGCATGAAGAAAAAGTGTGGAAAACTGATTTGCCGGACTGACAGACGGACGGAGTGCAAACCTAAAGTCCCCTTCGATTCGTCGGTAGGGGACTAAAAACCCTTTTAAGGGAGCTACCATTTGATTTTTATGAGGGGGGGCTAGGATGAAAAATTTTGTCCTGCATTTTTTTTAGTCGTAATCTCTGTCCTGCCTTTTTATTTTTCACTCTATTCGGTCCTGCCTTTTTGCAAAGTTGCTCATCCTGCCTTTTTTCACTCAAAACTCCTGTCCTGCCTTTTTTCAAATTTCATCCTAGCCCCCTTCCCCCCTCCCCATAAAAAAAAAACAGATGGGGTCAAATCTCTTATTTCCAAAGCTAACATTTATGCTTATTCAGGGGTCAAATCTCTTATTTCCAAAGCTAACATTTATGCTTATTCAGGTGGTGTAAAATGTGGTGAACTTGACTTATTTGCCGGGCTGATAATCATTTTAAACTGCATCTAATTTACAGATTTAGAAACAATAAACAAATTAGCCCACATGATGATCTACTCGTCTAGTGTCCCGTAGATGTGTTTTTACATTGTTGTACGCATTAATGACCTCTTTTTACCAAATTTTTGAAATGCTTAAAATACAAGGCAATATTGCAATTTGGCTTACTTAAACAAGGAATAGTATGTAAAAGAGGTGGAATGGTAAGGGCCCCTGAATTTGCAATAAATTGCTTCGCTGAGCGCAGCTGGATACGACCGCAGATGTCCAACCCTGAAAAGTTGGGCCAAAATGGACACAATATTCACGCTTGATACAGGTCTGAATTTGGATTGTAACTAAATTTTTGACACATAATAGGTTTCTGACACAGAATAACTGAAGTTAAAGAACTTCAAATTGGTTATATGATTTGAATTTATATTCTATTTATTGCTTTTGTGCAATACACTATGCTGTTGCAAATTGACCCCCCCCCCTACCAAAAAAAAAATTATTTTACCCTGGTTTTTCGCTTTTGTGCAATACACTATGCTGTTGAATATTAACCCCCCAAAAAAAATATTTGAAGAAATTTTCTTTTAATTTCTGAAATGAGAAAAATTGTCCCCCCTCCAATTTTTTTCACCTCCCCCCTTTCCCTTATTCCCCAAAATAATTCTTTCCCTCAAGATATGGTCAGTATCTCAATTAAAATTTCTAATGCAGTTTGCAACCAAAATTACCCATTTAAATACATCATAAAAGTTTTAAAATATAAAATGACATACATAGTCATGGCTAAAATTAATATTAATTAATAGTAACTGCTAAAAATAAATTGACAGCTAATCACCTCAAGACAATCATCATTTCTTAATATATAATTTACAAACAGTGTAAGGGAGGTAATAAAACAGTGTTCTTTAATTTGAATTGGATTGCCTCCCTTACACTGCTTTTAAATTGTCTCAATTGTCCTTTCTCCAGAAAAACCCTTGTTTTTCCCTTTTTTTTGCACCTAATTTGAGCCATAACCCCCCAAAGTCAATTCTTACCATCCCTTTGTTGTATGGAAGTTTGTGGTATAATTTCAGAGAGATTCATACACTTTAACACAAGTTATTGTCTGGAAACTACAAAAATGCTTATTTGGGCCCCTTTTTTGGCCCCTAATTCCTAAACAGTTGGGATCATAACCCCCAAAATAAATCCCAACCTTCCTTTAGTGGTTATAAACCTTGTGACAGACGCCGGACGACGACAACGTGATACCAATATACGACCAAATTTTTTTTAATTTTTGCGGTCGTATAAAAATAGTAAATTTATTTAAGTGCAGAAGTCACGTGATGATAAAACATTTCAAATTTTCGTATTTGATCTAAAATGGCCCTTTCACGCATACTTTTGGTTAAAATATGTATTAGTAACAGCTCGACCCAAAAATATATCTTGCCCACATTAACATCTTTGTAAAATACAATTTGTATGTCTTTTTGAGCAAAGCTGATACTCATATCGTAGTAATTTAATAAGATCTCAAAATGAGGCTACTTCGGCAGTTTTTGCTGTGTGCACAAAATTGTAAGAATTTTCAAGCCCTAATGCTAATATGTACGACAAAATTCCAAAATATAATAAACTGTTGACACAGAAATATGTCTCGCCTGTCGGAATAAAATTCAGATCAAGACAATCTGATGGACAGCAACATGCTAATTAATTCAAAGTCGCTGGACTAACTAGTGGGTAGGGCCTCGAAATGGTTGACAAAATGAGATGTACAGACAGTAATGCAACTTTATAGAAAATATTGTCTATTGTAAGTAGTTCCTATCAAACTACCTTAATCAGAAAACTTAACATTGAAAATTGTTAATTGAATGAAAGTTACTGGACAATGACCAAGGGGGCAGGGCCTTGAAATAGTCATCAAACTGATATGTACTGATAATAATGCAACTTTATAGAAAATATCATTGATCTATCGCAAGTAGTTCATATCAAACTAATTTAAGCAGAAAACTTATCATTGAAAATTGCTAATTAATTGAAAGTCACTGAACCATGGCCTAGGGGGCAGGGCCTCAAAATATTCGCCAAACTGATATGTACTGATAGTAATGCAACTTCATACAAAATATCATTGATCTATCACAAGTAGTTCCTATCAAGCTAATTTAAGCAAAAAATTTAACATTGAAAATGGCTAATTAATTCAAAGTCACTGGACCTGGTGCATTACAATTGTTGACGCCGTCGCTGTCAAAGCAATCTCTACGTCTCGCTTTCCGCAACTTTCGTCGCAGGCGCGTCAAAAACAGATATTTGACAGAAATTATGAAAATCTGAAGGATGGTGATTCTTGATTTTTGAAATCAAGGGCCACAAAAATAAAATGTGACAAACCATGTGCACAATACTTTCAATAGTTGCAACCCATATGCACATTCTAGGAAAATAGACCCCGAGATATTTGTTTTATTCCCACATTTGAACGATATCGGTATACTACTGTACATTATTTGATCAAGATTGATTGATTGATTTGTGTTTAACGCTACATTCAGCACTATTGTGCTATATCGTGGAAGTCGATTTTTATTGTTGGGAGGAAGCCAGAGTGACCAAAGAGAACCGCCGACCATCTGTAGGAAAACTGACAATCATAGTAAATTAAGATATTGGGAGTTGAGCGCACCTGCCATGTGTGGGATTCGAACTCGCAACCTCAGTGTTGACAGGCTAGTGATACAGTAGTTCAACTACTTAAACCACTAGGCCACCGAGATCGAGACGCTCTTTCTGCGAGGGCAAGGTCATAATACAAACCTTAAATTTCAAGGGCAGTAACTCCAAATGGGGTATTCATAATTTCCTGGAATATATGAAGGGAGTTAGAACTTGCAATCTTGAAAATTTTTCAGTTCACACTTCTTTCCTACTTTCTATAGCCCGAACAATAGAAAAGAACTGCCAAAAAAGTAAAAGATCAATATTTCTGGGGCAAGAACTACATTGCATGTCAACAAATTATCAAAACTTTTTAGGGTAAACACAGCTTGTACATTATTACCATGATAGTTTTTGTCTAATGGCTAATATTTCGACAGATTAGCAAAACCCTGCAGTTCTACCCTATGTACAATTTTAGCCACGGTGGCCATGTTGGTTGACCAACCTAGACGAAAACCACAAACTTCTTAGTAGACACTTATTGATGGAGCAGACTAACTTTGGTTGCAGGAGGATTTTTTTGAAAAGAAAAATGTACAATAACAGATGCAAGGGGAGGTGAACATTGTAGCCGTAAAAACCAGTCAGAACATGTTTACATAACAGGGAGTTCACTTGCAAAATATTAGTGGCATATAATATATTGATACACAGTTCTAGCCCAACACCTTAACCTGGAACACAAGCAACTGAAGATGGCAAAGCCATCAACATCTGTTTTGGCTTCAGAATGATTCCCTATACCAAATATTGCCGACATATGTAGTTACTGAGGTTAAGACCCAATCTAGTTATTGGAGTGACAAAATGACTTTACAGTGAAGAGACGTCCGTCTCCAATTTCATCATTAACAAGTTGTAATTTGAGCTATAGCAAGGTATAGCATATTCACATGACAAAGTCATATACCAAATTTCAGGAAGTTCAGATTTGTAGTTCCTGCCAAAATTGCATGGGAGACATATTGACGTAAAACTGAGGATCAGAAACAAAAGCTTATCAATAAACATCTTTGCCAGAATAAAATCTCCCCTATTGCTCATTTTGAATCCAAAGAACGAAAAGGGGAGTAGCCTGGATTAATCCATTAATCCATAGTGATTTTATTGATACTTGTAAAACAATTATTGTAATTTTTTATAGACCCAGATTCCAGTCTATAGATGAATAAAATTCCTTCTAAAATCATTTCCAAAGTTGTGGCAAACAGTAAGTAGGTGTCCGACAGATTATAATCAGATTAGTACTCACACATTACAATCACTGTCAAACTACTGAACAAACATGAACTAGTCCTATTCAGTAGTAACCAAGAAAATTGGGACTGAAATATTAGTTGGACAAAGGTAGACCAGGTGAATGCAATACAAGTTGGGCTATAATTTAAGACTGTTTATCAATTAAGACACTTTTTCTAAGGAATAGCCGATATCTTTAGTAAAATAACTCGGTATAGAAGTTGGTTGTACAGGTTGTATGACCCTATTTAAATCAAGCATTTGAACAGGTATGTTCTGGGATTAATAAGTTGCACACAATGTTGTGCCATGTACATCACACTCACTAAACAAGAAATAGCTGCCTGGCAGGTATAAAATTGCTTATACAGTAACTCATTATTAATCTTGTGAACAAGCATGTAGTAATTCCATTCCATACAAGCCTAGAAAACTTCAGTGAAGTCATACTCAATTCAGAAGCATGTATTATGTAACATGTAAGAACTAACAGATGGAAGAAATGACAAGGCCATAGCAGATTACCCTCGACTTTGTAAGGATATAGTCGCCTCTGTTCAATGACTACTTTTCTCTTCAGGAAACCGAATTCTTCTCTTGGAGATAAGATTATCATTATAGCTGTTACTCAGGCAATAAGTAAAATCTATTCATGTCTGAGTAACTGAACTGATGTTAAATCCTATCAACAATGAACTCAAGTGAGCATTACCTTTTGAAAGGAACAAAATCATGTGTATAAAAATATCTATATTTTTCTCAATTATGCAGTATTTGTATGGACATTTTGCATATAATAAATAAATATTTGCAAGATATCATTCAGAAATGAGCATATAAAAAGGCATTTAAAATTGGTCTAAAAGTGGCATATGTCATTATATATAAAATTATGGCAGTGATGATTTTGTCATATTAAAAGCAACATACAGTTGTGTCAATGCAAATATCAAATTTCATAAGAATGTCAATTAACAAACGAGATTGCAAAATATGGCACAAAACAGTCTGAATAAGGCATCATTCAACAATCATTCACAAAAATTTTCAATGAATTTAAAGCAAGTAACAAATATGCCATAGATATTCAATTTCATGCATAAATATTTTTATGTCCATAATTTTCTCCAATCAAAAGCCGTTTCGGTCAGGACTAGTATCAATTTGCTGCCACCTCAAATTTTCTCTCTCCATTACAGCCTCTGCCAACACCAATTTCTGTCCCCATCTACATAAATAGAGGCAAATTAACCATAGCAATCACATAAAAGCAAGTTCATTTTAAAACATATTTATTTTTGTCACATAACCATACCCGTTCTCGGGTAGACATGTGTAACCCTCTGAGGGTAAAAAAAAGTATACATATACACAGCACAAAAGAAATACATGTGAGATAGTTATCACTGGGTTTACATAGTTATTTATTAAAATGCTTTTATCATTACTCTATATAAAAAAGACATTCAATGTGATCAATCAGTTAAGGTAACATGGATGATTGTGTGTATCTGTGAATACCAATTACAAATTAAAAACAACATATACCAAGCAAATATCAAGAAAAAATGGCTAAGAACTATGTAAAGATTAATGGTCAAATCACCTAGATAGAATATACTAATAATTATATAACACCAACAGCTCATACATAAACAATATCTTGGCGCAAGGTCCAATAAAGGAAAACCTGAATAAGTATGGGATATACAACACACTATGTACAACGATGACCAATGGGCAGGTAGCTTTGGGGGACCAGCTTCTATGGCAACAAGAATCGACGATCTCAATATATATGAACAACGCAATGCATAATAGAATTCTCATCATCAACACATGGGTATCATCATCATCAATTTAACAGACATCAATAATATAGTTGGATATAATCATCATTTTAAGCAAAGAAAGAGAGGTAATCTCACTTAGTTAAGGGAGGTTACCCCTCCTGGACATGTTTTTTCAATGCATCATATAATAATACTAGAAACATACATTTTGAACTTCAATAAGACATGGCAAAAAAATATCAATATTTCAAATGTTTAAAAATTCATTGTTCAAGTGAAACTAAAATAATCATTACGACCAATATGCAATGGAAAATATATCAATACGAAAAAGTTTTCATTTATATCATATGCAATGCAAATTTATCATGTAAAAAACAATTCAAAAAGTCATTTCAACAAAATAATGAAATTATATATCTCTATCATTTCAAAAGGCATTATCTTCTTTAAAATACTTTTAACATTTCAAGTAAAACATGATATCAATATGAAATCTTTTAACAGCAATAAATTCAATGCACATTATTTTCATTAAAATTAAACATGTGTCTTTCTCTGAAAAACTACAACTAACACAAAATAAAAAAGAATAAGTCTTTCACGATCAATATTAAGAGTTTTGATTGCAATGCAAAATAATTTTCAAGAATACATAATATAAATAACAGTGAATAAATTGCAATATTTTCAAGAAACAAAAAAATAAGCATTTACCATTTGGAATGTATTGTCTAAAAAGTATAAAACAAACTATGTCCTACAACTATATTTTATGACAGACAAAAAAAAATAATCCCTGACAATGAAAAAAAGAGAGAGTTGCTTTGGGGTATTCTAAATTTACTCAAATTTGGCACTGAAGTACAGAAATGTTTTATATCATATACAATACAAGGGCATCAAGATAAAATGATCATCAATGATAATAAAATACTCTTCTTTACATAAAATAATGAATCACAATTTGCAACATGAAATGGCAATAAACATATACTTTTATCAATAAGAAAACAACTTTATATAGAAAAAATGCACTTACAATTTTAACAAATTAAAGAATACCCCAATGCAAAAGTCTTAATTAAATGTTCATTGTCAAGATGAGCACTTTTCAATAGTAGCCTATGTCTTCTGTGTGGATGTTAAATATGATGATTCTTTCACAACAGTCTTATATAAAAGTCTTGACCAAAATATTGCCATTCGATTCCTGAAAAGAAAGAAAATGTATCATTTACAATAAACAGTCCTCCTTATCTTGCAATTTTTCTATATTTTCAATATATTCCTGCACAATTTTATAAATCAATCCATATAACAAGAGCCATAAATAGATGTGCAGAAGAAATGAAAATATGGTTACATGCTAAATGATCTACAGATGATGAACAATAAAATGGTTTGTCACCATATTTTGTAAATGTTTGCATCTGTATTTTCAGATAAATAACAGATAAGGGCGATTGAAAAAAAAAGAAGAAAAAAAAGGTTATGCATTATCCCCATCTGCTCAGATCTTAACATGAGAATAAATGTTTTCAATCTTATTGTAATAAGCATCTGTGCTCATTCAATCTTGGGAGATTCATTTTGTTATGAACATCAACATTTTGTGTTTAAACAACACATTGGTAGTTTATAGGCTTAGAATAACTTAGTTGGTGTTATTTCAATCAGTTGTTTTAACTTAACATTATTTGGCATCCTCCTGGACATATCTATAACATTTTCCGAGTCAGATGCTTCAGTTTGAAATAATCGATGTTTATTATTTTCATAACTGTGTCTCAAACCAACCACGACACATTGGAAAAGCAACATATGTTGCGACTCTCAGCCATAGACACTGTGAGCTACAATGCTTAAGTGTGGAAAGAATGAATAAAATGGGAAAAATTATTTTTTCTTATAATCAAAGAAGTGTTATGGAGGCTGTACCTGTTACTAGTAATTTACTGAGGAGGCTGTGTAGGCTGATGACCACCTGCCCCTGCTTGTAAGGCTGCAGCTTGTTGCAAGACCATCTGAGCCTGCGTAAACATTCCTTGCTGTCTGTAATACTCTGCCCATGCTTGGCTGTAATCTGGCTGGCCAGTTTGTGGGTTGATGGCTGCTGTAAAAAAAATATTACATTCAAGTATTTTTGCACCAACTAATTATCTCTCAAAGTTTTGAAGACAATCTAGGGTATATTTTGGGGAATTTTCCAGTTGGTTTTTACTTAATCTACCCGGTATTCTATAGTAATTATACAAACTTAGTAAAATGGTGCATGCCAAAAAGTGTATACAAATGATCAGGAATGATTTTGCTCATGGAAATAAAATGTGGAAATGGCTGTACCGGACGCCAATCAACATGTATAATCTAGAAATTGTTACTGATAAATCAGAAGTGACAATAGCAAAAATCCCCTCAAAAGCCATATAGAACCACCCCTGAAATCAATGCTAAAACATGTAAGAAAAAAAAATTTGTTCCAAAAATCTAGTGTTTTAGAAATTGAAGTCCTACTGTATTTGTGGTACAATCAATCAAAGTGTGAAAAAAATGGGTATATTTAGTTTTAACTTTTTACAACATAAAAGAAGATAAATATTGAAAGTGAGCATGTTCCACTAACAAGGTTGTTGAGAAGCTGGCTGTTGTGGCTGTTGAACAGGTTGCTGCTGCTGGGGTTGTTGTCCTGCAGGATACTGCTGTCCACCATACTGAGCATACGGAGTCTGGTTGTAGAACTGGGCATAGTAAGCAGCCCATGCTGCAGCATTATCTTGAGCCTGTTTACCTGTTACATATAGTATTTATTTTAAAGCAATGCAATTTCCTCTTCTGGTCGGTCGAAGGTCAAAAGTACAACTACTAGTAAATTAAAGCTCAAGCAAATAAACAAAATTTCAAGAAAGGCATTACAATTCTGAAGTACAAAACAAAATTCTTAAACCATTTTTTGTTGCATTTTTTTTCCACAAATTTTTTAGACTGATTCTACCTTATAATGTACTAGTACTTAAATTTAATTAGCTTTAATGTACAGAATGTGTTAACACAGCTATCATTCCTTACTTCACTTTTTTTTATGTAGACATTAATGTATATTAATTCTAAATCTCGACTAAGATGATAAAGACAAGGAACAGGAATTTTCTTCACATATTTTGGATTTGACATACATACTAAATTGGGAATTTGCATTTATTTTTTAACAAAAATGAAACCAGAATATGTGTCCTTAATTTGGCATACATTTTAGAAAGTTCACATTATAATAAACATGCTTACAAAGTTTCAAGCTGATGTGACCACAATTTTATGGTAATTAAGGAATGTCTGTACTATTTTTTCTGTCTATGAAGAAATAACCTAAAAAAATCTGGTGCGCACTGAAAAACCCTACATGGGTTATTTAAAAGTGCGCACCACATTTTTTTAGGTTATTTCGAATAGACAGAAAAGTATTAGTCATTCCTTATAATTTAATTCTAAATTCCATTTTTAAGGAGTAAATTTTTAAAAAACGCTGGAGACGTCACAGTCCCATGACAAAATTATGTCTATGAGCTGATAGACAAATCACTTTCGGTCAATCAGAAGAGTGTTACATCTAAAATTAAATTATACGATCTTAAACCAAAACTTTTAACCTGATATGAGATCAACTATTAAAGGGACTGAACAGACCAGGAAACAATATGCAAAATTCTTAAACCATTATTTTGTTTTATTTCCCCCTCCCCTCTCCCCAGACAAGATAAAGTTTTAGTTTAAGGAAGTTCACCATGAAATTGTGTTGACATCAGGTTGAAACTTAGTAGTCATGTAATATAGTATACCCTCCTCCAAGAGGGGATCTCCTAAACTAAGGATTTGGACATGTTTTTAGCAATTTTTAGTGATAGTTTTTAAAAATAATAAGGACACAATTTATTATTTTAACCTGGTCCTATAGTTGGCACTAAATCAAATGGCAAGAAAAGCCCTATTAAATCTATACTTCCTGTTAACTAAAGGCTCTAAAGATCCTGTATCACTCAACTGGATCCATGTTCTCAACAAGTTCAGAAAAATTCAGTATAAAATAAGCATTCTGAGAGTATTGCATGGCAATACAGTGTCCCCTACCTGTTAAAAATTCATTGTACTGGAAAATGCTAACTTGATCTATAACTTGTCATGGTGTAAACTATATAACAAATATCAAGTCAGTATCATCAAGCATGACGGAAAAAGGTGTTGAAAACTGATTATCAACTGAATTTTCCAAGTCAAAGGACCTTTACTCTGCACAAATTCATCAGACCGGAACAAAATTCGAGCTCATTCTGTAACTTGTCATGACAAAATTATACACCAATTATCAAATCAACATCTTCAAGCATCAGAAAAAAAAGGGCGGAAATCTGATTATTTGGGTGAATTTTCCAAGTCCAAGGACCATAACTCTGGACAAAATCATGAGACCGGAACATAATTTGAACTTGTTCTGTAACTTGTCATGATAAAACTAAATACCAAATATCAAATCAACATCTTCAAGCACGAAGAAAAAAAAGTGTGGAAAACTGATTTGCCAGACTGACAAACCGAAAGTCCCCTTCGATAGGGGACTAATAAATGTCGTTTTAAAGAGTGTAGACATTCCCCATCATACTTGTTATCTGGTTGTTATATCTCAAACCTGCAACATCATTGGAATTACTAGTCATACTAAATTCTATATAGTTATACAAAACTATTTTCATGTTTCTATTTACTCACTCTGATTTGGATCTCCAGATGGTTGAGGTTGAGGCTGTTGATATCCTGGACCACCCTGAGGTCCTCCATAACTGTTACCACCCCAACCTCCTCCTGCTCCTCCTCCACCACCACCACCACCTCCCCAGCCTCCTTGTCCACCCTGAGGTCCACCATATTGTTGAGGGGGTTGACCTCCACTGTTAAAGCAAAATGTAATTCAATTTCAACATATTCTATAATATTGAACCTCTATAATTTGATAGAATTATATCAACATCAAAACAAAATATATATATATTCAATTGTATACATTTTTCAATAAAATAACTTTTTGAAATTGAATTGAAAAGTTCATGTGGTCATGTCACAAAGACAATTTGAAAGGTTTCTATTAAAACATACTAGTTCAACAAGATGGTCAAGTGTGTTAAAGCACTCTGAAAACTAGTTTCAAAGTATTGTTTATCATCACTCAGACAGAAAATGTATAGAATGAAAAATGTGACTTAGACAATCATAAAATCCTTGCAAACTATAACAGTGTTTTCACAACAAATCCTCAACAAGGTAGGGTTTGTTTTAGTTTTAAAGCAGGTTACCAACAAATAAAAATTCATTATCGTGATTTCATATTTAGTTTTTTTTATAGCACTATTCTACAGAACCAAGGAAGACACTTCAAATAAAGTGATTAAACACAAAAGCAACTGTAGTAATATGTTCATCTTATTAATATTTACTAATGTTTTAAAAAAGAAATACCAGTTATCCCCAACCCAAAATTGAGCTACCGGTATATATTATAGAAAATAGATAGTTAAATCCCAAAATCAAATATTCTTCCACTTATATCATACATATCAATTGAAAATTACAGAACTGGTAGTGACTTTTACTATGTTTTTACTTCATTATGAAATTATTTTTGACATAAATATCCAGGGATAAGGGATAATCTTAAAGAGCCATGTGTGTTACATTTTAAAATAAAAATAAGTTAATTTGTTGCAACCTGAAACAATTTTCAAACCATTAAATCCACATATGTACAGAGCTTTTTTTACACGTTCACATCCTACAAACTAGATTATTGAGCTCATAATAAGATATGAAAAGAAAAACTTCAATCTAAATTTACTTTTCACACGTAAATATTCCTTTAAGGACTTTTCAAGCAAAGGTTAGTAAAAAGCTATAAAAATTAAAATCCAGTGAAACACTTCCAGCTTCCCCCCCCCCCTATTTATAATAAAACTTTTGAAGACCAATTCTTCAAGTACTTGATACAAGATACCATATTATCTATTTAAAGTTACAGTGTGTTAGTCAAAACATATCTAAAGAAAAAAACTGTGATCAACTGAACAAGGACTTACCCAGACTGACCATAATGGTCACCATAAGGACTATTCCCTCCATCATTTGGCCTGGCAAAAATTCCACAAAATTATGATTCAGTAATGCCAACATGAACCATTTTGGAGGTTTTCAATATTTTGACCATAGATTTCGAAAAAAAAGTACAAGAATCCTTAAAACAGAATTCTGTGAACAAAATTTGGCAATATTATTTATGTCTGTCCAAAAAAATTAATAAATTTCAAAAAAGATTTCTATCATTCATCTTTAACGTTATTTTAACTATAATTTTGTTAATTGCAGCAAACTTATATCACAAAACTTTGGTTCAAGCTCATGTGAGAGAAAAAAATGTACAAATTTCATCATAGAAACTGAACTTGTTAGTTGCTTACCCAGGACCACCAAACTGGCCTTGATCTCCTGGACTTGGACCTCCATTTCCACCAAACTGATCTCCATACCCTCCTGGACCACCACCGGGTCCACCCATACCACCATGGGGACCACCTGGACCAGGTCCTCCAGGACCACCTGGACCCTGGAACAAATAAATCTTTTGCTGAGTTGCTAGTTCATAAATTAATTACTAAAGCATTATTAACAAGTTTCATATATACAGTGGTTCAACAGTGTCAGCATCCAGGTCATACATACATTCAGAATAATATTTTTAGAGTTTCAGTTTTCATTTAAGGCTCAAAAAGGCAAATTCAAACTAATTGAGCGGGACACTACCTAGACAAAAATTTATCATGGATTTTTTTTCTTTAATTTACATCTGAAAATTCCATATTTGGACTTAGGTCCTTGTTTTGAAATGGATAGGGACAAGATTACTAGGATTATTCTGTTCCAACTTTTGGGAGGTTTAGCTAGAAAAAAGTTACTACACAGATACTTTTTTGTTTACAAATGAAATACAACATATAAAAAATTTCAAGAGTTCAGAAATTATAACCATAGAACATACCACTGGAACTCCAGCTTTCTCTGCTATCATTTGAACAGCCTGTTGAACTTGTTGTGGGTTACCACGGACTACAAACACCTTCTCATTAGGATTTGGACCTGGGTTTCTCTGCAATTCAACATGGGCCCCTGACTGTTGATTGATCTGTCTGATTGTTTCTCCACCTAATACAATAATAAATATCTATCAGTAAAAGTTTTTAATACATATTTACTTTCCGTAACAATGGCATCTACAGGAATCAGAAAAAGTGAGTTGTTTCTATATACCTCCATCTTGATAACTTAATACTTCCCTGGTATCAATGGCATGGCTGAGTTGACTTATTTATTTGTCTCTCTTTTCTTACATTCACTTGTTCAAAACAAATGTCACACAATTTCATCACTATTCCAACAGTGAGAAAAAAAATTCTTCTTGATATTAAAAAGATTATTCCCGAAAATTTAACTATGTTGAAAGCATTTGTGATTTCCAGTTATCTTTGTTTTGTATTGACTTAAAATCCCATTTTTCATAAATTGCTAAAAAGTTTTTCCAATTTCTTAAAAATAATAAAAAGCAAGTGAGGACTTTAAAGTATCCTTAAAATACTGATATTACTAGTACTCCTAAAATTTAGCAAATTTATTTAGAATAAGTCATACCTTTTCCAATAACCAGGCCACATTTGTCTGCTGGTACAGGGAAGAAGTTTTCATCATTAAAACCACCCATGCCTCCTCCTCCACCTCCTCTTCCTCTGCCCCCACCTGGCCCAAATCCACCTCTTCCCCCTCCAGGACCCCCTCTACCACGTCCAAATCCTCGACCCATTCCACCACTCTGAAAAGGAAAATCCCCATCCTAAAAGAGAGAAAAGAGAGATTAAACAAATGCTAAAATAACTGCAAAAACACTTCTTGAAATGTGCATCATGAATATGATCATTTTTTTTTTTTAAATTGAAAAAAGTTACCAATTAAGTGTGCGAGTAGGCATGATTTGTATTTATCAACTTTTTATTATATACAAATACAGGTGTAGTTAAACCTTAGCAATATCTGTACAGTATGTTTTCTATATCGCCACTTGGTATCCTGCTACTGTTGACGGCAAACAGTTAACATTCAAATTCTGTTTATGCTTTTTGATTATAATTAAACAAGAATGTGTCCATAGTACACGGATGTCCACTCGTACTATCATTTTCTATGTTCAGTGGACCTTGAAATTGGGGTCAAAACTCTAATAAAGATCATATCATAGGGAACATGTGTACTAAGTTTCAAGTTGATTGGACTTCAAATTCATCAAAAACTACCTTGACCAAAAACATATATAGTTATATTGGGGCATAACTGAAGAACGGTAAAAGTGACGCTACCCAAATTTGAACTTGATCTGAGTTTTGTGGTAATAAGCATTGTGTGTAAGTCTCATAACATTTGGTTGAGGCTAACTTAAGAAGAGAACAGAAACAAAAAATTCAGCAACTTTTCTATTTGTAAACACGCATAACTCTAGAACGGTTGTGTATATGTTTTATAACATTTGGTTGAGGCAAACTAAAGTTAGAGAACGGAAACTAAAAATTTTGCAATTTTTCCATTTATAAAGGGGCATAACTCTAGAATTGTTAAAGTGATGCCACCAAAATTCAAACTTGATCTGTGTTTTGTGGTAATAAGCATTGTGTATAAGTTTGATAACATTTGGTTGAGGCAAACTTAAGTTAGAGAATGGAAACCAATTTTGGGATGTACGGACAGACGGACAAGGGTAAAACTTAATGCCCCCTTCGCTTCAGCGGGGGCATAAAAAATATGTTGAAAATTTCTGTTTTATGGCATTTTTATAGTAAAATATATAAGATGGTTGTCAAGATAAATTTATACTAGTTGTCAATTACAAACTGACAACACACTTGATCTAGTTTTAAAAATATAATTTCAATAATGGAGATACTGACCTCGTCGGGTAATAACCTCTGAATCATCTGGATAGCAGCTTGAACTTTATCTGAAGCACCACTAATAGTACATACTCTGTTATCTGTTCTACCATCATCTGCAAAATTCAATTTTTTTACCTGATAATCAAACATTTCTACTTTATTGTATCCAACTTCTTTTATAAGGTTCATTGCTGAACAAACATCATGGATGGATGCTGAAAATTTAGGGGAACAATTAACACATTCAGGAAAAATACATCCAGCGTAGTAATAAAGTAAGATTATAAATGTGCAAAATGAGTTGCTGCTCATTATCTTATACCAACAACCTCCTTTATATCAAGTTTACACAGGAACATAGGTCTAACAAGGACTAAATCCAATCTCCAAATTAAATGTATAGCAAAGAGGCAGGAAGCAATTTTCAAATCTTCTTATTGACCTATCTAGGGATTAAATCAGGAGAGCACTCTTACATGGGACAACCAATTAGACAGAATGAAGTTGATTAAACCAAATATTAACATAAGTTGTTACATCTACATCCTTCACTATACTGTTATAAAAAATTGTTTGGGGAAATTTGGTGATCATGCATGCCAACATCCAAATCTAAAATGATTGATAGTTTAAAGCTTATTTCCTAATACTTGTAGATTAAGACTTTGGTTGGCTTGCTTGCTTTGTTTGTATAAAGGTTTGCTCAAGCATTGGTATTAGGAAATAAGATTGACATCTGCAAACAATATAAATAGGTGGAGTTAAAAGTGTATACATTATATTTAGATTTGATTGGACTTTACCAAATATTCAAATCTTAACTCTGTCTACTTATATTGTTTGCAGATGTCAATCTAAATTACAATGCTTGAGCAAACGTTTATACAAACAAAGAAAGCAAGCCAACCAAAGTCTACAAGCATTAGGAAATTAGCTTTAATTGATCTTAAAACTGAACCTTAGCATCAACTTTTCAGATAAGATTTTTGTATCTGATTACATCTCTATTTTCACCTCTTCTAATCTCAACAAACCTGGTTTAAATTGAACCTTAGCACCAGTCTCTGATTGGATTTTTTTGATCATATCTCCATTCTTTCCAATAACAATCCCTACTGCACTTCTAGGAACTTGAATCTGCAGAAGAAGAAAAAAATCCATATATGCATATCCTTTAAAAGTGAATTATTTAAGCTAAACACATGTAAACTTATTCATGATCAGGGTTTCCGCTGGTGGTCGCCAGTTTCACATTTTGCAAAAAAAGTATAATTGTGGAGATTAAAAATCATAATTGATGAAAGAGATATAACATTTCGACTTTGTCCATCTTGTTAATTTTGTTACAGGTTTCTCAAGACTTTTTCCCTTATCAGACTACTAGGATTTCAACTTGAAGAACTCGTCACACGTATCAATTTTGTCAGAAAATCAATAATCAGCTGATTGCATTTGATAGCAATGTGTACTTCACAATCCTTTTAGCAGCGCACCTGTTTTAAGCATAATATACGTCTGAACTTTTACTTTAAAGATGGTTTGGAAAAGAAAACAATAGTTTGAAGAAAGGGTTCAAAAGTAAGAAAAATCTCGGTTTTTTTTCTTGATCCTTTTAGACAGGAAGTATCCAATAACATGATTGATGATGAACCCCATGTTCCCAGAAGTCAAATTTTAGTACCTTTAAAAAAGTTCAAGAATTTTTTGTTCTTATATGTTACAATGAACTTGAAATAATGCATTTAGTTATGTCAAGAACTGAATATGAATATAAAGATATGTAAAATTATAATAAATGAGACAACAATGCAACAAACAGAATTTTTTTTGTGAGCAAGAAGGAAAACAAGTTCTAATCAAAAACATGTTTATTTGAGTTGGCTAAAAAAGAAATTGACCAAGGGGAAACCCTGTTTATGATGTACAAGTAACTTCCTTGCACATATGTAATTTCATGTCTTTTCCGTTCAAGGTTAAACTATGAACTGGTCCAAAAACTTCAATGAAACAGGTCTAATCTAATAGCAAGTCCCAAGGACAAATGATTCGTTGCAATCTTAAGATTACATTTCTAAAGACGAACTGGTATAAATATCTTAAGTGTCTGGTTCATGAAATGGTCCTGATTGATTTTGGATAAATTATCCTATTCTTTGACATACTTTTGATTACCAGTATTCAATTAGTTATGTCAAGAACTGTAGTCTTCTTTTTTCTGCTTTCATCTGCATGTTTAACCTGACCATAAGAACTAAGACTTTTTTCACTGAATACGAGTGGTTTATAGCCAGGTTAAAGTCTATAGTAATTAAACACTTTCTTTAAAGTTGAATTAAACTTAAGCCAACTGTGTGCATGTAGTGATAAAAGTTCAAAACAGAAAATTCACTTTACAACTTACCTCTGATCCACTAGAATTCTGACCACCAAAATTGCCATATCCACCTCCCATAGACTGAAATTAATCATAATCAGTTAGTTTCATACACAAATATCTACATGCAAGTATGTTGTTGAATTATAATTATCAATAAAATGCTTTGCTGAGCGCAGCTGGATACGACCGCAGAGGTCCAACCCTGAACAGTTGGGGCGAAAATGGACACAATATTCGCGCTTGATACAGGTCTGAATTTGGATTGTAATTAAATATTTGACACATAATAGGTTTCTGACACCGAATAACTGTAGTCAAAGAACTTAGAATTGGTTATATGATTTGAATTTATATACAATTTTTTGCAATACACTATGCTGTTGCGAATTGACCCCCCCCCCAAAAATGTACCCTCACTTTTTTTTTTGCTTTTGTGAAATACACTATGCTGTTGCGTATTGACCCCCCCCCCCCCCCCAAAAAAAAATTTGTTTTTACCATCCCCCCCACCCCCTTTTTCTTTCCAAAAAAAAATATTTGAAGAAATTTTCTTTTTAATTTCTGAAATCTGAAATGAAAAAAAAAATTCCCCCCCCCCCCCCTCCCCCAACATTATACAATTTTGTTTTTGGATTACCTCCCTTACATTGCTTTTTAATTGTCTATTAACCAGTAACCCTTGTTTTTTCCCCTTTTTTGCCCCTAATTCCTAAACAGTTTGAGCAATAACCCCCCAAAGCCAATCCTAACCATCCCTTTGTGGTATGGAAACTTGTAATATAATTTTAGAGAGATCCATACACTTAAACACAAGTTATTGTCTGGAAGTTACAAAAATGCTTATTGTTGGCCCCAATTCCTTAACTGTTGGTACCATAACCACCAAAATCAATACCAATCTTCCGTTTGTGGTATTGAACCTTATGGTAAAATTTCATAGAGATCCATTCACTTAAACTAAAGTTATTGTGCGAAAACCAATGTGTCTTCGGACGACGACGCCAACATCATACCAATATATGACAGCAAAAAATTTTTGGCGGTCGTACAAAAATAGTTGTTAAACCCTCAATAAACCAAACCCCTATTGTGGGATTTACTTTTGTACAACTGGGCAATGCTCACCTTCATACTAAAATAATCCTACAATTAAAACTTTAAGTGTAGATATAATCATATTTGAACAAGTGTTGTAAGGTCTACTATCAAACCCCATTCACAGAATGTATACACATCCTAATGGTGTTAGCGAAATCTTACATTGATGTAGCACATGACGACACCCATCTGACAAAACAATGGTCATATGGGCTCTAATTATGTGCATTTGGTTTCTTTTTTAACTGTTGTTATCAGAAGATTCAATAATAAGTCAACTAAAGTAACCATCAATGACTTTAGTTATTAATCTATAAATAACTGGGTCCTGCAAACTTTCAGTTATCAAATTACATAAAAAGTTATGCATTTAACATTGCTGGCTGTGAATCTGGTTTACCATGAAATAACTGACATCCTCTATCAGGGCTATTCCATTAAAATGTATGTGGGAGGGTAGGAAGGGACTTTCAAAATATCCCTACAACCAAGAACCATTATTTAGATAATTTTGTATAATGGTAATAGATGCATACTGAAAAAAGACCCATGACCCACATTCAATAATTAAACTTCCCTTCCTACCCTTCCACATACTTTTTAATGGAATAGCCCTCACTATCATCTATGGTCTTAAATTGGTCTCCTTATGAAGCTAAACAAGAAGCTGTCAAAATGACAGCATATTGTGTTTTTATTACATTATTAGCGTCATTGTTAAAGCAATGAAGATAACTCAACCGCAAAAATGACCCACTAGAATTTTAGAATGTACTGTACCTCCATTTTTGTTTATCAGTAACAACATATAAATAGAAACTTTTCTAATTGGTTAAAATAGTTTTCAACTGAATTGCACAGAACTGACAGAAATGCAGCTTTCCAGTCAACCAATTGCAAGGACCATTAATCCTGAACAACAGTGAAAATCATTTGACTTCCATTTTGTCATCTGTAACAACATAGCAAGGTTTGAAAAGCATCAGCGAACTTATTCACAAGTAAATGCACAGAAACAATTGGAGCTAGTTACCAGCATTCTGTACAACCCTCAAACAATAACTGGAATTAAATTTGAAAAAAAAAATCTATTAAAAACCATGTTACTTGACAAATTTGTATGACTTGTTTGAAACGATTCTAGATCCAAAGACACATTAAACACCAGAGAATGGTATAAAAGTGTTAGCTTTCCATCGTAGACCTTCAAAACTTAACCCATCAGATAACAATTCCGCTGGGTTTTGTTCAATAGCTGATCATAAGTTGTACCCATTTATTTGAATTTTTCCACTAGGTTTGTTTAATAGTGAGAGTTGTGGTTGTTGTAAGGTCTACTATCAAACCCCATTCACAGAATGTATACACATCCTAATGGTGTTAGCGAAATCTTACATTGATGTAGCACATGACGACACCCATCTGACAAAACAATGGTCATATGGGCTCTAATTATGTGCATTTCCTACTAATTCATATGCCAATCATTGAAGTTTCTTAGTAATTAAGGCTCTTAACTTTTTAAACATTTCAGGTATATTCAAACATTCATATTGAATGTTCCAGTGAATGAGCAGACAAGCATGCTTGAAAACTTAGTTGTAGAAAATAAGTATATTGGGAAATTGTGTCATGTTAAGGACTATACGGAACATTCTGAAAATTGCCAACTGGAAAGAGCTTTAGATTTTGTATCCATCAATTTTGCATATTTTTTTTTTATTAATATGCAGCAAAGATCAACAATTTTATTAAATTCCCGGGTTCCAAGCTTCTAATGCAATTATCTCAATAAATAATGATAATAAAACGTTGTGTATTTGCATGTATATTTTAAATTACATAGTTTGAAGATTATTTCTTCAAATTACTTTCAATCAGTATGGTTACCAACTGTTAAACTATAATACTAAAATTAATTATGTTTCCTTTTCTTCCTGTGTCATCACTTTTCCCACAGAGGGGATCCCAAAAGGTCTTTCAAATAGGAAGAAGAACTGATTGTGCTATATAAGCCCACCTCTTCAAGACAGGGCATGGGCATAATAAGTCATCAATATTAATTTCTATTGGGAAAAATTACTACTTCATCTGAAAACATATGCATCTTCATTTTAGAACTGTTTTTGGATAGTGTTGCAAGGTCTACTATTAAAACCCCATTCACAGAATGTATACACATCCTAATGGTGTTAGCGAAACATTGCATTTATGTAGCACATGACGACACCCATCTGACAAAGTAATGATCACATGGGCTCTAATTATGTGCATTTTCTACTATTTCTTATGTTAAGTGTTTTGACTGTTTGGAAATGATGAATTAAAGGGATGCAATTATCTTAATTGGTAGAATTCTATTTTATATAAGTACAGGAGAATTAGCTCTCAAAACAATTTTCAAAATTTAGGAGAATGCCCCCTCCCAACCCCCTAAAAAAAAACCACCTCTGCAGTTCACAAGAAATTGCGATATGATCATATACACACAATCCTTAATTAGAGTAAATATTGTTAAAGAGTCCAAGCAATACTACATTACATTTAGTTCTCTAAGAAAATTGTTAATTGACAAACAAGGAAACTTGGGGAAACTTTGGTATAATGTACACAAATACAGAAACTCTATAGAGGAACAATTAATCATTTAAAAAAATGTTATACACTAAAATATCATATTTGCTAAACCTAGTGATCACATACCCTCTATTACAGCATAACTCTTAAACAAAAAATGTCCACTCTCTTCAAAATCCAAAAGGTTTTGTAAAGTAGAGATTAACTATCATCCAGGAAATAAAATTAAAACAAACTATGTTCAAAGAAAATTTAGGGGCAGAACTCTAGACCAGTAAATGTCAAATCTGTTGTCATCTAGAAACAATGTCTAAACCATCAAATTTGGCCTGTATATTATAGTCTTAAAAGTCATTGACATCTATTAGTAAAAAAAACAAGCATTCTGAGAGTATTGCATGGCAATACATAGTCCCCTACCGGTTAAAAATTAATTGTACTGGAACAATATGCTAACTTGATTTATAACTTGTCATGGTGTAAACTATATAACAAATATCAAGTCAATATCTGCAAGCATGACGAAAAAAAGTGTTGAAAACTGATTATTTAAGTGAATTATTTAAGTCCAAGGACCACAACTCTGCACAAAATCATCAGACCGGAACAAAATTTGAACTTGTCATGATAAAACAATACACCAAATATCGAATCTTAAAGCATGAAGAATAAAAGTGTGGAAAACTGATTTGCCGGACTGATGGACGGAGTGCAAACCTAAAGTCCTCTTCGACTTCGTCGGTAGGGGTCTAATTACTAGATTCTATCAATACATATGCTTCCTTAGTTTTATCATTATTTTTGGATAAAGTGTTGTAAGGTCTACTATCAAACCCCATTCACAGAATGTATACACATCCTAATGGTGTTAGCGAAATCTTACATTGATGTAGCACATGACGACACCCATCTGACAAAACAATGGTCATATGGGCTCTAATTATGTGCATTGTCAACAACCAAAACCAAAAAAGTAATCAGTGGAAGCCTGTGTGATTTCCAACATCATTTTTGTCGAGCCTTCGACTTTAGTCGAAAAAGCGAGACATAGCGATCCTACATTCCGTCGGCGGCGTCCACAAATATTCACTCTGTGGTTAAAGTTTTTGAAATTTTAATAACTTTCTTAAACTATCCTTGATTTCTACCAAACTTGGACAGAAGCTTGTTTATGATCATAAGATAGTATCCAGAAGTAAATTTTGTAAAAATAAAATTCCATTTTTTCAGTATTTTACTTATAAATTTTCTTAGTTTTTCTGCTGGGAAATATTACATTCACTCTGTGGTTTAAGTTTTTAAAATTTTAATAACTTTCTTAAACTATCCTGGGTTTGTACCAAACTTGGACAGAAGCTTGTTTATGATCAAGATAGTATCCAGAAGGAAATTTTGTAAAAAAAATAAATCCATTTTTTCCATTTTTTACTTTTAAATGGACTTGGATTTTCTGCCAGGAAACAACACATTCACTCTGTGGTTAAAGTTTTTAAAATTTTAATAACTTTCTTATACTATTTTGGATTTGTACCAAACTTGGACAGAAGCTTGTTTATGATCAAATGCTAGTATCTAGAAAGAAATTTTGTTTTCTTCCAGTTAACATTACATTCAGTCTGCAGTTAAAGTATTTAAACATTTATTAGATTCATAAACTATCCTGGATTTTTACCAAACTTGGACAGAAGCTTCTTACAATCAAAAGATAGTATCAAGAGGAATATTTTTATTGATTTACTTCCTCATTTTTGTTGAGCCTGCGATTAACAGAAAAAATAGGCGACACACTGGGTTCCCTGGAACCCTTACGAATTTTTTATACCAATAGTGTAGTTTGTTTTTCATGGTATATTTTCACGACATATTACAAGTACATTCAATCTGAACTTGCTATGGAATCTAACTACTTAATGAGTTAATATGTATTTTTTTTTTAACATCAATACTTACTTCCATTTCCTTCTCTGCTAATAAATCCATGACCATTTCTTTTGCTCTCTACAAATGGAAAAAAAACCCAAACACTTAAGCATTGGCAAACATGAAAAAAACTTGAAAAGTTTGTTTCGATATGGATGTAAGCAATTCCTGAATATTATTATGATGTGCACCACTTTTTGTGAGATTTTCACTTGCCCTTCATTTAGATTATCAAAAACATTTTCTATACGTATATAACAGAAAACAAACAAGAGAAAAACGAAGCAGAAATATACTGTATTCAAACCTCTCATTTTAAAATATCATTATGCTGAAAAACCAGAAAGCTGCATAGTCTTTATTAGGTTCTCTCGGCTCCCCGAACACTTTGAGAAACTTATTGACAAACAACCTTCACATGATTACAATTTCTGTACAATAATTGTTGCAGTAAAACATGATATAAGGAACTAACTTGATTTACATTGTTAAATGTTGCAAAGTTTTAAAACTAAATGCATGAATGGTGTCTAAGTTTCCCTTCTACATATATTTTTCAGCTATGGACAACCATACACAATAGTAACTATTTCATTCCATCCCTTTTATGGAATTCAACATAGTAATCTATACTTTCTAATACCTCTATATATTTTAGTTGAAAGAGGGATATTATCATACCTGACAGTTCTGAGGATCTCCTGTAATTCTCAAAGGTTTTTCATGGGCTGTTTGAATATTGCTGTCTTGTATCATAACCATTTTAACACCTGCCCTTTCCTAAAATAAATAAATATCAATGTCATTCCAAGAGTATAGATACAAATTATCACTATGACCCATTACAGCAACTGCTCAATGGTGCATGTTGCAATTCAAATTTTAAAATATTAAATTCAAGTTTTATAGACAAGTTTGCTATCTCATATATAGACCAGGTTGAAAAAATTTGCTTCCCCAAACATAGCACTGAGACTGTAAAAATCAGGGGCTACATTGGTGTACCAGACAGATAAACAGGAAAATCTTAATACCTCACTCTGCAACACAAAGGAATCCAGTACCATTCGATAATGTAATGAAGTCAATTTTTACCTGCAAGACTTTGATGGTCTCTCCTCCTTTTCCAATAATGAGTCCGACCTTGTTTCCTGGAATCAACATTTCTACAACAGTTTGCATGTCCCCATACATTCCACCATTGCCAACACTACCACCACCACCACCACCACCAACCCCTCCTCCTCCTCCCATCATCTCCATTCCATTACCACTCTGTCCTCTGGCAATGATATCCTGCATCTGCTGCTTGCAAGCACTATTAAGGAAAATATTCATTAAATTAGTTTGCTGCTTGCAACCACTAATAAATAAAATAATCATTTATTTAGTTTCCTTTTACAGTATACCGATACATGTGTGTGCCACAAAAGTCCTCATAAGATATATATATATATATTTTGTTTTAATTTCAAGTTTTTTTATACTGTTGCAGAGTTTGCGAAAATGGTCTGTCCTGTCGGTCAAAATGAGGCTCGGACCAGTATTTTGAAGGCTAGTGCCGGTCCCGATGACTGATGTGAAAACGGCCATTGTAGTGCATATTTCGGCACTTTTTTACATCGGTTATTAGATGTACCGCAACTGTTTCCAATAAGTGTTTACATCGGTTATCAGATGTACCCGCTGACAATTTCCGGATTTATTATAAACAAACCAAAGTGGCGATTTACACGTGGCCTACTAAATTTGTTCATAGAGCCATCCCTGGCAAACAATCCGCGTTGAACCCTACAATGGAGCAAACAAATACTGTAACAGCCGAGAAAGTGATTCAGATGATGAAATGGATAGTGAAGATGACTTTAAATAAGAACAATCAGAAGACCTGAACTGGTCCTTCATTGTTAATTTGCCTGTGGGTGCGAAGAATAAAACTAATATTAATAAAGTTATTTTTCGATAAAATACAGTGTTCCCGCCTGCCCTAAATAGAAGGGCGGCCCGCCCTTGGTGCCCTTACCCCCGCCCTTCTGCCCTCCAAAGTAAAAGAATGCACCCCTCTGCCTTTTCAAAAAAATAAAATTTTCAAATTTCATGCCTACCGGCGTTTCCGGTAAAATTGTTACCTGATTGTGTAACACTAATTAACTGACAATGGGATTAAGTTAAATACCTAGTGCTTCGGCAGTTTTATCACCTTTGTTAATGATTGTTTACTGCTAATTAGTGGATTTAAGATAATTGAACTAGATATTTAATACAGAATGAAATGTCCACATGTTATCCATTTGTAATGTTTATGTACAGCATGTACACCTGAAAAAATTTATCTCAGTAGGCATAACATAAAAAATAAAATCTTAAACAATTTTAAAGGCATACATAGTTTTGACTTAATTGGTAAAAAAATTTTTGTTTCATAACCATGAGTATGAAATTTAAAGAGGAATCAAAGAAATTTGTACTTTGAACATAACAAGATTCACTTCCTGTTTTTAATACTTCTTGTATTTTATAATCCTCCTGACATAGGAACACTCAACAAAGTTATCTTTAACAATGATGGAGAAAAAAGTAACTGTTTATACCTTCTGCAATATATAATTGCATCAATATAAAATATGATTATCTCCTGTCTCACCTGTTATATTTATAAAACTCCTTACTGAGGAGCACTTTGGTGTGCACTTAAAAATAATTTTTTGTAACAATTCAAATGATAATAAATAACTCTCAATAATATATATACTATATGTTTGAACAAGTAATTTAAATGTAGATAATTTAATTACATTCAACATTCAATTTTGAATGTATAACTCCATCTTTCAAAACTACTTGTTTATTTTGGTATAAATTATAAAACATTGAAATTCCTGATGATTATTTTCCATACCAAATGTACAAGCTTGTTTAGATTAACATCAAAATGATATGCTTTGCTTCATGGTATGATAATTTGATGGAAAAAATTCTTACTGGAACCAATATCAAGAACACATTAATTTCTGAATATGGTTTAAATACAACTAATGTTCTCCAGCTGAGCCTAGCAATATTCAAGGTAATTTATACACTGTCCAACATTGCCCTTAAAATCTGGGTTATAACGCTAAAGTGCCCTTTCAGACAACTAGCACCCTTCTGCCCTGAGATTCAAGCTGGAACACTGAAATATGTTATTAATTTTATTTCAGGATAAAATTGACAGATTTTGTAAGACTGGCAAAAATTTTGTAGGACTGACAAATAATCATGCTTTGTCGGACCGACGGGTCAAAATAAGTTTTCACGAACTCTGCTGTTGTAACTTATAATTTTGCAAGTTTTCTTATTCTGGATGAGCAATTGAACCAAAAATAAGAATTTTATAATAAATTTCAATACCAGACAGATTATGCATCATTACTATGAACAGTCTTAGACAATACAAGATGACTACTGGTTACACTGAAAGCCTTCGGAAAACATGGACATTATCAAAAAAATTGAAATGTATGTCATAGTGAGGCAAAATCAGCTAAACAGTGCTGAGCTACATATGTATGTAGACATATGTAGCTACAAATATTACTGATCTTATTACAATAGGTTTTTCAGAAATTGACATCAATGCAAAATTAACCAGTCACTCAAGGATGACAAATGTATGTTATAGTAATATGACATAATTTGATTTCACAACTCAATCTCAATGATTTAGAATAGACTAATATTATAAGTGCATTATAAGCCTTTTTGGCTGAATGACTATTTGGTATTTCAAAAAAAAAATGTTTTTATATTTTCATTCAGGTTTCCCTTTAAATGAAATTATAATTATTTCATAGTGACATGATGTCGTTAAGAAGCCTTGTTCTTTTCTTGTGATAAGGCATAAAATAAAATGCTTCGCTGGGGCGCAGCTTGATACGACCGCAGAGGTCGAACCCTGAACAGTTGGGGCAAGTATGGACACAACATTCAAGCTTGATACAGCACTGAATTTGGATTGTAATTAAATATTTGACACAGCATAGGTTTCTGACACAAAATGAAAGTGGTCTAAGAACTTAAAAAATTTTAATTTACCTATTCAAACCATATCATTATTATTTGCTTTTATATACAAATCAGAAATAACCAATTTAAAATGGAAAATTCTAAAGAAAAAAAAGGAAAAAAAAATCCCTCCCCAAATTTTTTGAACCCCCTTATGATTCACCACTCCCAAACTCAATCCCAGCCTTCCCTTTGTGGTATGGTACCTTGCAGTACAATTTCAGAGAGATCCATACACTTGAACACAAGTTATTGTCTGGAAACTAGAAAAATGCTTGTTTTTTTGCCCGTTTATGGCCCCTAATTCCTAAAATTTTGAGGGAATTACCCCCAAAATCAACCCAGCCTTCCCTTTGTGGTATGGTACCTTGCAGTACAATTTTAGAGAGATCCATACACTTGAACACAAATTATTGTCTGGAAACTAGAAAAATGCTTATTTTTGGCCCCTTCTTCCTAAGCTTTTTGGTCAATTACCCCCAAACTCAATTCCAGCTTTCCCTTTGTGATATGGAACCTTGTATTACAATTTCATAAAGATCCATACTCTTACACACAAGTTATTGTCATGAAACTAGAAAAATGCTTGTTTTTTGCCCCTAATTCCTAAAATTTGAAGGCAATTACCCCCAACATCAATCCCAGCATTCCCTTTGTGATATGGAACCTTGTGGTACAATGTCAGAGAGATCCGTACACATACACACCAGTTATTGTCATGAAACTAGAAAAATGCTTGTTTTTTGCCCCTTTTTGGCCCCTAATTCCTAAAATTTGGAGGCAATTACCCCCAAAATCAATCCCTGCATTCCCTTTGTGATATGGAACCTTGTGGTACAATGCCAGAGAGATCCATACACTTACACACAAGTTATGTCTGGAAGTTACAAAAATGCTTATTTTTGGCCCCTTATTCCTTAACTGTTGGTACCATAACCCCCAAAATCAATCCCCACCTTCCTTTTGTGGTATTGAACCTTATGGTAAAATTTCATTGAGATCCATTCACTTAAACTAAAGTTAGAGTACGAAAACTAATGTGTCTTCGGAAGACGACGACGACGTCATACCAATATACGACCACAAAATTTTTTTTGCGGTCGTATAAAAATTGAATTCAGTTTATGATTTTTTAGCCTTAAAATTTTACAATAGGCACGTTAAATACATGGATTCGTGGGTACCAATTTTTGGGGATTGAGGAAAAAAAAAAAAAAAAAAATCGTGGATGTTTGATTTTGTAGTTTTGCCAAAGCTTGCGTACAAGCCGTAATAAACCTATACAACAAAAGTGCACACGCTGAAATGTCTGGCCTGTTTTACTGACCGATTTTATGTTGAAAGTCTTAAAGATAAAGGTTTTACTACAAGTATCACATAAACTAAACATTTTTAAAGATCCATGACAATGAGGTCAAGGTCAGATAAAAACTGTCACACAGCCATGTACACCTTACAATTATTCAATACACCAAATACAGTTGACCCATTGCTTATGGTAATTGAAAAACAGACCAAAACACAAAAAACTTAATGTTAACCAATGAACCATAGAAATGAGGTCAAGGTCAGATGATACTTGCTAGACAGACATGTACACCTTACAATCATTCCATACACCAATTATAGTTGACCTATTGCAATAAGTATTTTAAAAACACAAAAACTTAACATTGACCAATGAACAATTAAAATGATGTCAAGGTCAGATGACACCAGCTTGACGGACATGTACACCTTATAATCATTCCATACACCAAATATAGTTGACCTATTGCTTACAGTACTTGAAAAACAGACCAAAACACAATGAACCATGAAAATGAGGTCAAGGTCAGATGAAACCTGCCAGTCTGACCCCTTACAATCATTCCATACACCACATAAAGTTGAACTTCTGCTTGTAGTATTTGAGAAACGGACCTAATCACGTAACTTTACCCTTGATCACTGATCCATAAATTGAGGTCGAGGTCAGATTAACCCTGTCTGATGGACATGTAGACGTTGCAAGGAACCCATATGCCAAATATAGTTATCCTATTACTCATAAGTGAAAAAATTCACATGACAAAAAAACTATCTTTTTTTTCAAGCAGTCACTGCACCATGAAAATGAGGTCAAGGACAATGGACATATGACAGACGGAAACTTCGTAACATAAGGTATCTGCATACAAGTGAAATATAAATCTTCATACAAAAAGTTTATGCTGCTGCCGGATAGTAATACCTATGTCTCGCATACTGCGACAAGACAAAAACCACAAAAATTGGTTTTAAACAGACAAAAAAGAATTCTTAGTATGTAAGGAAATTTCAAAGGTATCGTTTTTTTCTCATTTCAGCTTTCTGTTGGTGTTAAACCCCGAAAATCTTCAGTCTGGACTGAATTTGTATGATCTGTAAGAGCTTCAGTATGTTATCATCTTGTGACAGATTTAATTGCCAAACAGTTCAGGTTGTGGTTTCACATCTGATAACAGTTAACTGAGAAATGACAATGACCTTAGTTTTAGAGAAAAGAAGTTTTATTATCAAAATACATACGCACTGGATATTCACACCTGATTTGTTTTTGTTACATCATTCCCACTGATGTCCAAGTATGGAATGTCTTTAGGATTAGGATATTTGGATCTATCTGAATCCAAAACACATTTTGGCATAATTTCCCATCTGAGATAAATTACCCATTCACCACCTCCTATATTTTTCTTTCTGTCCAAGTACTCCTAATGACATTTCAAGTATTTGTAACAAAAGTATAACAAGGCTAGGCATCTGCAAGTCATCAGCTTCTTCTTGTCAAATATATGGTCATAAATTCATAGATAAAGAGAAACCATACAGTGACTTTCTTCATCACCAAACTGATCAAAAAGCGCTGTACTTTGGGGGATAAATTCAAAAACAGACTGGCATATTGATACGTACCCAATAGAAGCAGCACTCCCTGTTAGTTGGCATGGCCTATCTGGAAGTCCACCACTGTCTAAAAGATAATCAACAGATTTTAGATTACAAACAATCTCAAAGAATAATTACTTAATGCCGATTCCATATTATTTCCCTGTAACACAGTTACGGAATCAGATAGTCAGCACTAATTTTCATATATTTTTCTTAAAAATAACTTTTCAGCTTTAGACAAATATAATGCAGATAAAATAAAAGAAGAAAAAAAGGATTTCATAGTCCTCTTATATCGTAAAATCCATTGAACAATAACCTTTTTTCTCTCTTTGATTTTCTAATTAACAATGATTAATTAGATAAAACTGATATTCAAAATCATTAAAATGTAAGCACTTTTCACCTGGAAAATAAAGAACTTTCATTAGTTGACTTGGAAGGGAAAAACAAATATAAATGTTTCTTATGTGGACACTTTCCAAGTCTTTTACCCATGTCAAAATAAATGTAAAACCAGGAGAATCATTTTTTTTTCTAAATTGTTTAACTTTCAGAACACCTCTTACTTTACAAGTTGGGACTTTGTTTATTTTTTTTAATAGATTTGTTTTGAACTCATATTTTGTACAAAATAAGGATCTAGTCTGCAGAGATCAATATTTCTAAAAACTGACATCCTTGGTTTAATGTAACTTTACTGTAACATTAGCTCATTGCCATTTCCTCTTAAATGCTTAATTTAGGTAAAATAAATTACAATGAAGCAAAGTTCAAATAAGCAAAAGAGGAGTGATAGCAGAAATCAATTTTTTTTTAATTACTTTGAGTTTAACTATGAAATAATTGTAAATCCCAAGATTGAGTCCTTTATAATTTCTCTACTGGTAGATGTTTGCCAGTCAATAAAACAAACATAGAAACTCACCAGGAGCTATCTGTATTTTACACCCAGTCTCTGCCTGTAGTCTTGTTATCTGCTCTCCTCCTTTTCCTATTACTATAAGAAACAAAGAGTGCACACACTGAAATGGCTCGCCTGCTAACTGATTATGATTGAATCTTATGTTGAAAGTCTTTAAGGTCAAATATCAAGAAGCTATGAAATAAGTTGCTGAGCAAATTGTGACCAATATATCATATAAAAGTATTATAGTTGAAAAAATATATCAATTTTTTCATTAACAGAAAGTAGAACAGCAACGAATCTGAAAACATGTCAAGGTACAGTATGTTTAGATGAAACTTGGTACCAAATATGAAGAAGCTATGAATAATAGTTGCTGACTAAATGACGAACATTTCATATTAAGAGTTATAAGGAAAGAAAAACATTTCTCCTAACAAATACAATAAAACAAACTTATTCTACTGTAAAATCTAAGAACTTACTCAACCCAACCATCTTATCTGGGACTCTAAATTCTTCTGTGACCACCATCCCCAGACCTGCATGTGGGCCGGGCTTCTGCAGAGCTGGATTGACTGCTGGGGGTGACGTAGGTCCTCCTTTTCCGAGCTGTTGGTTAATTCTTTGAGCTGCTTCTTTAGCAGCTTGAGCTGCTGAACTTCTGCTAAAAATTTCAAATTCATATTTATTAGATAATTTTGTTGATCTATGTTTATTATCAAATGAAAAGGCTGAGCTTTTCTGGTGTGCAAAATTCTTCTCTAAAATTCAACACAAAAATGATGACAGTCCTGATGATAACAAAAAGAACCAAATACCTATCAATTAGAGTAGTTTATGAAAGTGAAAATATTTAAAATCAAATCTTTCCTCTCTTTTGCTCTGCAAATTCTAACAAAAAGTATGGCTCTTCACAAAGAAAACACCATGGCTTATTCCAATGACTATCTTTTTTGTTCAAACATTTTAAGTAGAATAATTATTTTCATTCATTCGACTGATGCCACTTTATCAATACAATACCACAGCAATGGAACACTGCAATATTTTACTTGGTTTTTATATTACTCACGACATACCTTTGTTGATCTTGGTTGGACTTTATCTGTGATCCTAATGCTGTGGATAGAAAAAAAGGTCACTTTCAACTGCAGCTATATTATTGTTTCCAGAGAATTAGGCCTACTTTTAAACCCCAATACATTAATACATGCAAGGACTAGTTAGAACTGTTAATGAAAATGAACGTTTCTCTTTGTGATCTCTCTTAACTTTCTTTCTCAATAATGGTGATCAATTTAATAAAGGACTTTTACTTGGTCTATTTACATGTGTAGCTAATGTCATTGTGTCCTCTCATAGTCTGAAATGTTCTTTTTTTGTTAATCATATTTCTTAGGAAAAATATTTCCAATAAATACCACTGGACACATAGAAGACTGGTCTAAAAAAAAAATGTTGGACACTTGTTTACAGAATGTACCAAGAAGTTAAAGACCCTGTTCTGCGAACAAAATTGATTCCAAACAAAAACTGAACTGTAAACACACAATGACATCTTGCAGTGACACAAGTCCAAATATGTATACAAGAAATATTATAAATATCAAACAAGAATAATAAGTTCATAATCCAATTTCACAAAATATCTAAATATCAATATGGACTAAAGATTTTAAGTTCACTGAGACAACTTGGACTTGTGCTATATCTACAAGTAAAGCTAGCATTAATCTATAAGAAACACAAAGTTAGTTAGGTAAATCTACAAGGTAATGCATTCTATGTAAACATTAAGACTGCTTTTCCATTTAAACATATAGAGATGTCATGCATACAAGTGAAAGTTTAGCACATAGTGGGGATTACTGTCCAATGTCAAAAAAAATACTATGCAAAGTGAACAAGCTTATGTTTACACATGTTTTTTTTAAATCCCATTAATAGACTAAATGTGTGTATCCCATACTTTAGACAGAAGCTTTTTGTAAATGAACTGGTAACGTAAACAAAATTCAGCAGACATCTGGTCTTTATGTATCACCATACTTTCTTTACTTCAGAGCAGCAAATATAATGGCGAAAAGTGAAAAATGTGATTCCAAGTTCAGATGACAATTCTCCATATTTGAGTTGAGTTACACCATTTGAAAGGCTCAATAAATGGCTTACATTACCCAATTCATCCCCCATAGATGTTGATTCAGAAGTTAACCAGATAATATAAATTGTCTAGAACAAACTGGAGGCTCCAAGTAGCCACAATTGTCCAAATTCAGAGTTGTAATCATTAGGTTTAATTTCATTTTGGTTTGATCAGATTTAAGCTGTCCCTTTAAGTTTTCATGAAATTCAAGGTTTCACTAGAAATATTTATAGTTATTTTGAAACATTTTTCTTGCTCATTAAGGAATGAAAAATTATAGGACAAAATCAAAGATAATATGCATTCTGTGAATACTCTTAATACAATACAAAATCATTATATTTATGATTTTTTCATCTGTATTCTTAATAAAGTAGATCTTTGGGAAAGAAACAAGTTATCTGTAACTTCTTTTTACACAACTATTTACCAATACTAATTTTTTTTAATTATTTCAAGAGATAGCTGTATAACATTCCCATTTTGTCTGTTTTGCAAGTGCTCAAGCAGCAGTCTTTGTTACTTAGCAACATCATCAGATATTTTTTAAGTGTAACAACCTTCAAGATTATGATGCCAAACTTCATTTTAAATTTGCTTTGAGGATTCTAAAAAGATTCTTGGTGAAAGTCATTTACAAAGATGAAACAAAGTAATGATATCAATTATTTTAATTGAAATCATAAAGCATTACAATATCAATTAATTGATAAAATAAGCATTATCCATGTTAGCTACTAAGAAGTAAAATATTTGTGCTCTCATGGGTTCCGAACTCAACATTAATTTTAATGGATCAAAACATTATTGTAAAAAATATCAATTTTAGACAAGCCTAAACCATCAATACAGTACTGATCAAGAACTATATATGGCTATTAATAATTGAAGATCAGGTTTAGTTTTTAGACACAAAAAAGGCCCATTAAGTTTTTTAAAGTCAATATTGATGTTGTTCAAAATGTACTTTTAATTATAACCAATCTGACTGAATTCCTGATCCTGTGTCCATGCTTTTGCTTATAAGTATCTGTCTGGATCATAATTAGGTTGACCAATGAAATTTCTCCCTTGGATTTTCTGAAGGTGTATATCATTTAAGGCCAACAAAAATAGATTTTCATTCAGATTTTGGAAAAAAATTGGGCGAATGGGAGGATTTTATTTTTTATTTCCTCCAAAACCCTTTTGTAATGTGTTCTTCGTATGCAAGGGTAATATTAATAGGCTTATATATATATATGTTGTGTACAAGTTGTTATTTCGTACAAATTATAATTTGTACAGTGTTTTTGTACAAGTTATCAGTATTTTGACACACACCTTCTTTCACCAGGTCATACAAGTTTATCTTCAATAATTATCCAGTTCGATGTTTTATATAAAATTTATATACTTCAACCTAACATTAAGCACTGTCCTCTATGTCATAAAACTACAAATAAGGACACCTGATTGGTTTAGATTGTATTTTTATTTTTTGACTAATACCAAATTCTATGTCCACAAAATATATTTTAGTGTTTTTATATAAACTTTGTGTCAGTACTATGTGCAAGACTGTAGCATGTAGTTGTGGAAATATAGCAGTGATAAGCTTAACCAAAGACACTGCTTATTTTATCAAATTATGTAAAGAGATTCACAAAATACTGATATCTTGTACAAAAATTCTGTACAAATTATAATTTGTACAACATTACAATTTGTACACAACATATATATCATGATTATATAAGGATTCTCCATCATTTTTCAAATTCTTAAATAATATTTCTGATTGGCAACCACTGTTCTAAATGTAATAACTGCTTTAGAAACTTTATTTTCAGTAAATAATAAAAAGGTGGAGAGATGCTCCCTTTTAAACTACCTACATCAAATTATTTTGCTTTCTAAGCTATGATTTATAGTGAGCATATGCATTGGTATAAAACACAAGTATTTATGAGTACCGAGTGAAATGAAAACTCAAACTGTGTTGAAAGCACTAGGGTTGATGCTTTTTTCATTCTTAAGCAAGGTGCAAATATAATTATACAATTTGTAAAACATGGACCAACCAAAAAGAAGAAGTTGTTTAATGACTCTATTGGGGTGCTGGGGGACAGAGGGTATTTGTTGTTTGTCAACAAAAAATGACAGCCTTGTGGCTTCATATAATACATTTTGTATGTTGGCCGACTTTTTGTACTCAATATACGGTCATAAATAGCACAAGTTTGTGCTTGTGTCAATTTCTTTATTCCAGTCATGTTTTTTGTACCAATGTGTTCCACAATTCTTGCGCTTTGGATATCATTCACAGTCCAAATTTCTTATCGCATAGTCATTGTTTAAATAAAAATATATCCACGGTTTTCGAATCACTGAAATTTGTGACATACCGTGATTTGCGTTTTTTGGATACCGCCTATTACTCGAATATTTCATGTCCTTTCCGTAATCAATCTATATTCTCCGAAGATAATGTTGTCATCATAGAGCAGCAGAATATGTCGACTTAATTATTTTGGTTAAATGTTACTCGGAAGAAATATGATAACCGAAAAAATTTCCAATAAGAACGAAATTATCTACTGCTACAGGTCACAGAAATGAACAAAATCCGGTATTCATAAATTTCTAAAAATAAAAAAAAATCGCAGCGGGATGATTTCATAGGGGCCATCAGGGATGAAAATATATCAATTAATTTTAATTGGCCTAAGATGATACCAGAGTATCCCGAAATTGTCCTCGAAAAGAATAGTAAGGGAGTGTTGACAGAACATTACAAGTAAAGTGTGGAGACAAGGGTCTGTACACCAAACTTTTAGTTGACAAATATAGTAAATTACAAGAGTCAGGTGTGTATGTACATACAATGAAATGTAGATAAATTTATAAAATATAAATATACGTAAAATAAAATGACCTGATGCTCTTATTATTAAGTAAAATATAACATTAATAGTTTCTTTAAACAGGGTTCAAATTCTCAGTGCTCTGAAAAATATTTTTCATGTATGTACAATCCACAAACATTTCTAAATATCTCCTCCAGGATTCTCCTTCAGATAGTCAACACTGAAAATTCAATCTCTGCATTACAAAAGAAATATCATTGTCTCATAGATATCACAGATAAAACACTTACCTTGAACATCCACATTAACAGTGTACATGCATGAGGATTAATTTATGACATTGGAAAATAATTCATGATTATATATGCCAAGCTGTTTAAAATAGAATCAACTGTCTTTACATCCTTTTATCTCAAAATTATGAACTGGAACTGAATTTGACTGATTTAAGACCTAACAGAATGGATTTAGAATTTGCCACTTTATTCCATTGGTTAATAAAACCGTCACATTTATGTTGAGGTTATCAGTCAATTTTGAGGACTTTTTTGCATTCTCAAGAGCACATTGTTTCCATAAAAACAATGGAAACACAGGTTTGTACTTCCCTCTATACATTTTTAACTTGTCAATAAAAATTTGTTAGCTGATTTTAATATATTTTCAAAACAGCAAGTTTTATATAAGCCTATAAAAAAATGTACAAATTAATTTAAAGTACTGGCATACCAAGAACTTGTTATTCTTCAGTCCCTTCAATGAAATGCATAATTCTAAAAGCATGATATGTTATAATCAACTGCTTCAATGGGGACTATGAATCTATTCAACCAAATCAATGTACAATACAAAAGACTGCTTTGCATTTGCAGAAAAATTGACTGTCAAGTTGACGTTTATATTTCTGATATTCAAAAAAGCTTGTATATACACATTTAAATACTTGTCAATCAAAGGGCAGTGTTTTCCTTAGGGTATATGCATAGTAGGACTTCTACACATTTTGACGGGCGTATAAAAACCAAACACATCAGACAAAAGAGCATTTATTGCCTAGATTCCCCATTTCCTTTAAAAGAAAAACAGAATGAAATTTGCATCGCCATAATTTTTCAGTAAAATTACCTGATGTTGCCTGTGCAAGGGAATAAAAAGATTTTTTTTGTGCAAAAGGCTCCTAAAAATAAGAAAAAGGTATAGATGCTAGGAAATTTATTTGCATTAAAAAGATTATTTTGATCCCCCTTTTTTCTCTGTTCAGTCTTCGCATCTCCTGGTTTGGTTGCAAGGGAAAAGTTTCTCCTCCCTAAAATTCTTGTGTGGTGACTCTTGCCTATCCTTAAAAAAGTTTCTAAGGAAAACACTGAAGGGTTCAAAATTCATTTCATGTCATTTACAATGTCTAGAAGCTCATTATTTTCCCTACTTCACTTGTCCCTTAAATCAAAAATTGACAGATGAAATCAGATGTTGTCAACTGTCACAAGCATTTCATCTGAACTTTTTCACCAGTTACCATAACACTCATACTTTGGACAATAGTTCAACCCTGCTTGGCATTGTATTGTAGATAATCGGATTGCAATATTCTGAGGCTAAAATTGGTCATTAGGTTTTCCTTCAGTACATACTGTTTGCTATTATACCCTCAGATTCATTTCAGGAGATAAAAGGATGCAATACAAAACCGTTATATAAACCAAAAACACAAAAAAATAGCAAAGTTTCTAAACAATTTAAAGAAATGTTAATTGAAAAACATTGGACGTTTGTTCCGAACCAGGATGTGCAGTGAAAGATGTGTTTTTACAAATATCACACATACGATCATTAATATCAGGAGTACTCTTCTTGAATTCAGGTTCACCTGTAACGAAAACAAATGCAACATGTGTATCCCTACCAAAGTGAATTCACTTAGAGGCACACTGTCAATAAATATGACGAAATCTTCCTTTTTTAAGTATCTTAAAACTTATCAAAAATAGAAAGTTAAAAAAGAAACGTTATACCTCTTTTTGTGAATTTTTTTCCCTTTAAGCTTTTCTTTGTCCCTGTTTAAGACAATGTACCTTTAAATGATAAAACAGCTAAGACCTATCATTTCACAATCAATTTTGACAATATCATTTAACAAAAATTAAATATAACATTTTTTATTCTAGTACCTTGCCCGTCTGATTCAAATGAGCGTTTCAATGGCCCTGTATCACCACCACCTTGTCCAGGCTGGTTAATCTTAGCAGCAATCTGAAAAGAGGTTTAATATGTATAACATGTAATTTTGGGAAACATGTCAAGTAACTGATACACTTTTTGTAAACTGACCAAGTGTCTTGAAGAAAAGTAGTAATTATATTGTAAAAATCAACAATATTTACACAGATATTTACAGCAAAAAATTGACAGAACCAAGTTGTTTACATAAGATCAATTAAGGACATCATCTAAGTACTTAAAACTTATTTCAACTTCTTCCGTGTCTTATATGCAAGTTCCTTGTATAATCATATGGCTGATGTTATTAATCTTGTTAGTTACTTGCTTTTGAATAATTATGTCTGCCGAATCAATATACAAAGAACTTGCAAACAAAACACGAAAATTGAATAAATGAGGTTGAAATGTAGTTTAATCAAGTAAAAATGACATATCCAGAGTTCGCGAAAATGGTCGGTCCTGTCGGTCAAAATGAGGCTCGGACCAGTATTTTGAAGGCTAGTGCCGGTCCCAATGACCGATGTAAAAACGGCCGTTGTAGTGCATATTTCGGCACTTTTTTACATCGGTTATTAGATGTACCGCAACTGTTTCCAATAAGTGTTTACATCGGTTATCAGATGTACCCGCTGCCAATTTCCCGTACTGGTTTCAAGGTTGGCAAAAAAGCGGTCAATACTAGTATTGACCATGCCTGCGGTAAATACTGGGAAATACTGGTCAATTGAAATTTTGATAGGACTTTACTATAAAACTAGTCCCTACCTCAGGTCAATTACTTGGTAAATGGATAGATATAGTCACAAGGCAGAAAGTCACTTATTTACTACATTGTAATAGGACAAAAAGTCACAATTAATTAGTTCATGAACATGGTTTAATGAAGATTTATCAAATATTAATTTAATCATACAACAGATATAGTCATTAACACCATGAAGTCAGTCACTTAAGAGAGACTATATAACATCTGGTTTTCTTAACAGTTATTTTGAAAGATGCAATTAAAAAATTAAATAAAATTGTTTTATATATATATATGTTATATATTTATTAAAAAAAAACATTTCCTGCATTTAGAACAATTTTATCATGCTGTTGAATAGCCAGGAATCAATTCATTGTTTAAAACAATCTTTAGAAATCACTTTTATGACTTTTTTCCTGTTATGTCAACATTTATTAGGGGACAGTTGTTATAGTAATTAAACTTTTGACACCTGTTAGCCATATAATAGGTAATGCTCTGATAATCTATATTGCTAGTCACTTGTAATTCTATTTACCTGTAAAATTCAAACCTTTTCAAGAAAAAAATATCTTGATTTATACATGTTAAAATAACTGATATAGCTGCTCAATTTTATATGTATACCAAAAGTATGCAATATAGTTACCCCCAAGAACTTAATTAGTCATTTTTAATGTTTTAATAATTAATAACATACCAATATCATTCATTTTTATAAACTGAATCATGCCAAAGGAATAAAGTTTTCCCTCATCAACCATTTTTTTACTAGAACTGATAGATAAGCCAGTCAAAAGAAGCATGAACATTTCAATTGACCAGTATTTGCCAGTATTGACCATTTGGGTAGTATTGTCCGGGGCGGTAAATACCACTGGTAAATACCAGGGGTGGTAAATACCGCCCATCCTTGACTGGTTTACAGATTTATTATAAACAAACCAAAGTGGCGATCTACACGTGGCCTACTAAATTTGTTCATAGAGCCATCCCTGGCAAACAATCGGCGATTGAACCCTACAATGGAGCAAACAAATACTGTAACAGCCGAGAAAGTGATTCAAATGATGAAATGGATAGTGAAAATGACTTTAAATAAGAACAATCAGAAGACCTGAACTGGTCCTTCATTGTTAATTTGCCTGTGGGTGCGAAGAATAAAACTAATATTAATAAAGTTATTTTTCGATAAAATATGTTATTAATTTTTTTCAGGATAAAATTGAGATTTTGTAGGACTGGCTAAAATTTTGTAGGACTGACAAATATTCATGCTTTGTCTGTCCCATCAACGGGTCAAAATAAGTTTTCGCGAACTCTGCATATCTCAAAACTATCGTCTTGATTATCAATACTAGAAGATGCCCGCAAAATCGCAGTGTGGAAAAACAAAGTGTGTGGACACAGTAAGGATTTGGACATTGTTAATGCATTTAATTCTATTTCTTTAAAGAGATGAAAATGAGGAACATAATGCAAAAGACCCCATTCATCTTGGTTGGAAAAAAAAATATTATAATACCCTAAGAAAAGTGTGATTTTCAGTAGTTTTTTACACTTTTAACTAAACAACCATATGAGCTACGTAAAATCCATTGACATTACCGAAAGGGATCAAAATGTGTAACACAATGGAAAAAATCCCATCTAAATCGGATGAAAAATAAAATCTAAAACACTTCATAAGGAATCAACCCCTCTTGTATCTCAGAAACCGTTGACGCTACTCCAAATCTGTAGACATACTCAAGTTGCAGTATCTTATAAGCAATAAAAAAAATAGGTTTCCAATAACATCATTTTGAAAAATATGGTCAGTAGGTCGGAAATTTTTTTTTATTTTTATTTTTTTGTGAGATCGTAAACAAAATCCAGAAAATTATCATGGTTTTTCCAAGTCTGAGTCTGTAATTAGTTACAAGACACGGATTGATAACGGTCTCCGAATTTGGATATTTTCTCAAAAATTGGCATTTTCTGTGGAAAAAAGATTGTTTCCAAGACAAATTTAGGAAGTACAAAACATTACATTTATACGTCATATCACAAATATTTCCGACTTTGTATGGTTTCAGATGAGTTGTGCCTCAATGAAATCGGTCTCCTCCTTTAGTAGTATAGATAACCAGTATTAGACCCTATAAAATAGCACTTTTTGGAAATATCAAGGTGCTTTCATAATCATAGCTAATATTTTGTCACTAGCCAGATTTAGTCTTGCAATGTACACAAAAACTGCATACATGTATCCCCAGTAAATGAACAAATTGACAATGATGGAATCGATTTATTGTCTCATATTTTGATAAAATAATTTAATGGTTACGACAACTAATATGTTGGCGAAATCCTGCCTGAAATCGTTGGTCTCCAATGAAAAAAAAAATCCTATAATTTCTCAGAAAGAACAAGGGTCTCATTTGTACAACTGTGGACCTTATAATATCCCTAATACAAATAATAAGTAGCATTCATATTTGAGAGTTGTTCCTCAGTTAAAACTATGGTAGGAGATCAGATGATGGTAGTGAACCAACAAAGAAATCTACGATGTAACAGCTCTAAATGAAAATATAGCAAGATCAAGGCAATTTCAAGATGTGCAATCCCTGAATCCCGAACCTGCACCTTAACTAAAGTTATGTGAGAAATTTCTTAAAAAACGATGTAACATACGAGGAAACAAAGTAATACTGTTGGGTCAAATTTGACCTTAGGATCAGGACAGTTCATTCATATCCAATAATTAGATAGATTAAAGAAACTATCAACAACAACATTTTACTAATACCGTAATTATCTGAACCTTGAAGAATATCATCCAAATTATATATGTTTTTAAAAAGCGTCTATTCAATTTTCCCCGAAAACCGCTGATAAATCCAGGAATTCGTTGTGAAACAATGGACTTTTAAGATAAACGTAATTAATGTGAAATGCTTTGTATCTGTGAGAGTTTCAAATGTTCGGATTTTCTTAAGTAATGTGTTCTTTTGTTCAGTGGCCACGAGGTTTGTAAAGCATAGGGAAAAGAAACGCACGAGGTTTGCAAAGCGTGGGGAAAAGAAACGCACGCGGTTGGAATATCGAGTCAAACGTTCCTCAAAACAAAACTCAGATATAACAATACTTTGCTATGTAGACATAAACTGAAATGAAAGTGTTTGTTTTATCGATACCTGTCGGGCACGGGCTACAGCGTCAGCAAAAGCAGCTTTTTGTGCATCAAATTGACCAGGGCCTCCCGCATCCATCTCCCGATACAACAAAAATGGCGGAATAAAAATTTGCGATGAATAACTTCTGGTTTTCTGATTGGATAAAAATAGGTGAACCCCCCACTGAACATGTGCGCATTCAACAATGACGCAGTCTATAGTAGAGGTCCCGAAGGGTAGATACTGTTAGTCTGGCATCCCGGCCGTATCTCTGCTTCGAGTGTTAGACAGATATCTGTATGACAAAAACACTGGCTTTCATATGAGACTAGTTGCAACTTATACAACAAATTTCATTTTTTTTCGAAACAAATTTATTATCCAATCTTTGGTCAACAAGTGGCAATCAAAGCACTGAAGTACTAAAGTACTGATCAAAGAAGATCTGCAAGCTCTGGAAGTATGGCCATCAATGACAACTTAGCGCAAGAATGTAACATAATGAGCTTTAAACAAAAATCAACTCACTCCTATCAACTAGACAGCCACATATAAGAGCAAGTTCAAACAAACCCGTACCTAGGTCTATTTATATCAAATGACCTAAAAGTGGACTAGCCATATAGGGAAAATTACAAGCAAGGCAAGCTGTACGCTAGGTTTTTTGAGAGGAAACTTACGACCTGCCGGCCCCTAAAGTGCAAAAAACTAGCCTTCCTCTTCTTCCGAACACGGGAGTCGAATCCTAGGTAGCCGAGTGTAAAACTTCCCGGAAATTGTGTGCTATGTATAAATATGGACTTAATTAAAATTACTATAATAAAAATAATAAAATAGTCTATTGAATAACATATATACATTATGTACAGTGGCTTTAGTGATTTAATAAGTTGGTGTGGAATCTTCAAATGTTCAAGTGGATATGTCACTTTTGAAGGATTCCAGAGTTTCAGACATACCCAGTATTGCTTCAGGTAGTGAATATTCCAGTCAGAGATGGTGTTTGGATTAAACTTTGAAGAATATTTGTAGAAGTCTTTATTAGTTGCAATTTTCCGGAATTTATGTTGCCCCCTAGTATATCTATAAGATTTTATTACATTGTCCTTTGGAACTTCTACTAACCCCAATTAATTTTATTTAGCATTGTTAATCTAACTTTTTTTTCTTCTGTTATGTAAACTGTCCCATTGCCAAGAATTGATCATGTTGGAAGCTGCACCCGGTATTCTGTCTTTATAATCATTATAGACAAAACTGGCTGCTTTACGCTGAATCTGCTCAACCTGAGTGATGTGGAGCTTTTTGTAAGGATCCCAAACAGGGGAAGAGTATTCGACGACTGGACGGACAAGTGATGTGTACGGTTAACCTTACGTGTGCAGTTTTTTTTTTAATTTCTACGAACTTGAGAAAAACCTATGGTTCAGTTATGTGCCTTACAGGTAATATTATTTATATGTCGGTACCCCAGTAGAGATCATGGTTTATAGGTTCACCCGAATATTTACTGTCTTTAACAGATTCTAATACATGTTTATGTAATGTATAATCAAAAGCAGAAGGGTTAAGTTTTTTTGATATATGTATTACATAACATTTTTCAGGATTAAAATTTATCTGCCAATCCTGTTCCCATTGCCTTAAACTAGACAAATCATTTTGAAGTAATTGTGCATCAGAATTATTATTTACATTTCTATATAATAAGCAATCATCTGCAAAAAGTCATGCATTGCAAGTTACATGTTCCGGTAAGTCATTAATAAATAGTAAAAATAATGTGGGGCCTAATACTTTTCCCTGAGGACCACCAGAGTCAACAGCTAATTTAGAAGATTTAACACCATTTAAAGGTACCTGCTGTTGCATGTCAGTTAAAATAATCCGTGTGATCCATTTTAAGTTTGGATTCCTAATACCGTAAAAATCTAATTTTTGAACTAGTCTTTGATTGGGGACTTTATGAAATGCTTTAGAAAAATCTAAAAGTATAACATCTATTTGATTGCCATTTGCCAATGATTTTGCTAGATCTTGAATACTTGTACTGATAATGAGTTGGGTCTCGCGAGAACTTTTATTCCTAAACCCATGTTGACTGTCGTTTAATATATTATTATTTGTGAGATGTTTTCGAATGTTGCTTGTTAAAACATATTCCAAAATTTTACAACATATTGCAGTTAATGAAACTGGTCTATAATTAATAGCGTTTTGCTTGTCACCTTTATCTAGATATGGGCACAACATTAGCCTGCTTCCAATGTATTGGGATTTTACCGGAATCACTAGATATTTGGAAAAAGTGGGTCAAAAATGGAGACAATTCTTCTGAAAAATTATGTAAAGAGTATGCTGGCAGATTATCAAGGACAGTGGTTTTATGGGGATTTAAGTTTTTAAGTAATTTTAATAATCAATTATTGTTAATATTTATATCTGGCATGGTGGAATGGGGATTTGTATCTTTATTTGTCATGGAAGATGTATCTTCTCAGAGAAAGCATATTTAAATTGTTCATTAAGGATGTTTGCTTGTATATTAGGGTCACTGTATAATAGACCATCCTTTCCTCTTAGTGGAGAAACTCCAGATGTTTCTGGTTTTTTTTTTTACTTCTTATGAATTGCCTAGCCATGTTAAGTTCGGTATTGGAATATGGTGCTGTCATTTGGGACCAATTTGCCATCAGGGAAATAGAAAAGATAGATAGCATACAGAAAAGAGGAGCACGTTTCATCCTGCCCGATTACAAATCCAGAGAAACAGGATGTGTGACAAATATGCTTTCCAAGCATGAACTACCATGCACCTCTCCAGGAACGAGAAAACGTCAGAGGCTTGATTGTGGTTGAGGGATTGGTGCCGGCTATTGAACCGACACATTATCTCAAAGAAAGGAGTTGGACAATAAAAAAAATCTATGCTTAACCATATGTAGTTCCATAAGGGGACCCGAACTGTCTCTCCCCCCCAAATAAAAGCCGCCTTTGAAAATTGTAGAAAGACAAGAAACCAAAAATGACAGATCATTTAAATGATAGATTGTCAGACATCCGAAAGAACTTTTTTTACTTCCGAAAACAATACTAGTAGTGCAGTCAAACAATCTGAAAGAGCATGCTCAAAGACAGCTGAGGATTTCAAAACTGCCCTCCAACAGTTGGAATAACCAACGAGCCTACCTTTCAGTGCACATATATCCGCGATCGGATCATGCACTGTGCACATACAGACATACAGATACAGATACTGTTGACGCATAAATCTGACGGATGGCAGGTAAATAATACAAAATTCCAGCTCATGTAGACTGGTACATATAGATTCCACCATTGCATCAAGTGTGTTAAAATATATTTCTACTCGAGACAGTTAAATTTTAATATTTAAAGCGCGAGGCTTGCCGAGCTTTTTAAATAATTAAAATTTAACTGTTGAGAGTGGAGAAATATCGTAACACATTTGTAACAGTGGTGGAATCTATATTTCTCTAATGATTTTTAGACGATATCTAAAAGTTTAGTCTTCCTTTTCATAGATTTGCAGAAAGTTGTGTTCTTAATATGTGACGTACAAAATAACAAAAATTGTACATACAAATAAACACATAATTAAAAAAATATAAATATAAAAAAAATAGTTTCAATTATTAACTGAATACTGTGCAACTAGGCATGTTCAACAAGCTGATGTTTTCCCTTGTATAAGAAAAAGAAGAAACATATTTGAGTTATATTTAGGACGATAAAAAAAAAGAGGTGAACGATACCAAGGCCTGAAGGGGATATTAAAAACTCATAAGTCGAAACAAAAGATGACGAAAAGACAAACAAGTCCACAACAAACTACTTCGAAAACTACAGAATGAGAAATAAGAACCCCACCATTAAATGCAGATGATCTCAAGTGCACCGGAAGGATAAGCAGATGATACAACACTAAAAGCCGTGACCCGTCATTTTGCTCACGGTAAGCACAAATTCTGTGATAAAAAATAAGTCTAATTAAGTGATGTCACAATCGATGAAAAGGACACGATTGTGGTTACGAATATTGGAATACATGTGTATCCATGACACAGATATTCCATAACGGCCAACCAATTCGTGATGGCGTCCGTAAACTTTCGAATGGACGACTTCAGTTTTACCACTCGAAACCGTTGATTCAACAGCCTCCTTGTAGCAGCAATCCTCTATCAAGGAAAATCCAAATCATGATAGGAAGTACAAGCTCTAATATGTCGACGGTATCAACTGGGAGATATATACTCCATATGCGATCGCTTCTACATAGAAACGGAAAGTTCACAACGGGAAGCCGAAATCTTCCTTTTCGTCGTGAAGTTTTCTTCTTAACCGACTCTCATTGTCAGTCAATAAATGAAACAGACTAAACTGTATTTGTGGTATCCTTTATTTCATTTTCGGTGGGATAGATGCGTTTGACATAGTCACAAAACTTTGAATTATTTAGTGAGGGGACATCATCTATATAGCGGAACGTGAAGTTAAGGGATAGTACTAACTCCTTTTCGTTCTTCCTGAGAAGCTCTCGTATGAGGTTTGCCTCGAATGATTAACGGAACAAGTCGACAAGAAGAGAAATACAATTGGTTCCAACAGGAATGCCGATTGTTTTTAGAAAAACACGTCCTTCAAACATGACAAATGTGTTGTCAACAAAAAACATCTTGATGATGTCAATTTTAGAGAATATTTTGTTTAAATCAGAGTGTTTTTGGTTTTTTTTTATCTCTTCCTATTAAACAAGATATTTATATCTTTGTTGGTCTTTTTAATAAACAAAGTTGGACTCATTATTTCAATCAATCTGACTTTAAGTTTAGAATGAGGAATTCTAGTGTAAAGTATAGGGAAATGAAATTGCAAAGAGAAATATTCTTAGATTGTATGTACTAAGTGTACTCTAACAAATCTTCGGAATTTTTTATTATTCACATCTGATTCACACTGCTTGTTTACAGTTACTCTGAAGCCAACGGCTTTGATTGCTGATCAATTGATGTTAACAAATCGAAAAGAGGTTTTGTGGAGCACTTTGCAGATGATCCATCAATTTAACGTTGTTTGGAAGGACACTTATGTAATTTTGTATTTTAAAATAGTTTAATTGGTTAGTTTTATGT